GGCGCCCCCCCCCCCCCCCCCCCCCCCCCCCCCCCCCCCCCCCCCCGAAACTGCATGGAGCAGAATGATCAGTTCCAGCTGGGAGAGATGAAACATGAAAGCGTGAATTCCAGCGAAATGTCGCAGTAGTCAAGGCGCTGCATCCGATAACCTCCTTCCACGAAAAGAAAAAAAAAAAACTTTCTTTCTTCCCTCGAATCACACCTAATGAGCAAAGAATAAAAGAAACTCCTCTCACTCGACCGTGTTTCCCCGTCCCACAATTCCGACGCAGAAGGATTTGACTCCGATCCAAGAAGTTTCTGTCGCTGCCCACCTCAAGGACAGGCGAACCCGGATGATCTCATTAGATCTCATCTACCGACTCCCCATTTTTCTTTGTCTCGTGCTCACGAAATAGGAAGAGAGATGCCATCAGGACGGAATGACAACTCTAATGGTTTCCGGTTGACGACACTCTCACCTAAATTCTGCGTAGAGGCTTGAAACCGATTAGTAGACCTTGAATTTAATGAGAAAAAGGGGAATTGAAGAAGAAAAGGCGACCTAGTTGGGGAAACACCCTAAGGAATTCTCAGCAAGGAAGAATCCTTGCAATCCCCCCTCTTCAGACAAAAAATCCTGAAATCAAATTTGAGCTTTCCAGGTGTCTGCGGATCAGCAGATGAACCTGCATTCCCTGCTAATCCCTCTCGGATTACAAATCAGGTCTTCCGCCCAGATCGTTATCAGCTTGTCGACGCCGAGACCCGTTCCCCTGAGACCGGTGTGAAAGTCACGGCTGATTTCACGGTCTGCCAAACGATCCACGATGCGTCAACACGAAGCCTCCCCAAGTTTCGGAAGCCCCTGACCGTGATAGCTCACACCTCCGCTGGTCACTTGGCTTTAGGATTCGTCGGAAGACCAGGGGACCAGTGCTCTGAACTACCACGTTGGCTTCCCTGCCCCTCTTCTCTCCTCCCCTCGGTGTCAGGTGCAATCGAGTGTTCGCACGTGGAAGCCTGACAGCTCGCCGAGGTCTGGTCGTCTTCGATGCCTTCACGCGCGCACTTCCACTACTAAAGTCAGTCTCGAAATTGAGCGGGAGCATGCAAAACATAAGCTTTATTTATTTATTTATTTATTACTCAGTCATAGGGTAAAGATTTTTGCTCATAAGTTGTATTTTCCACGGAGTTTCACGAAAAACTTACCAGGTGAACTACAAGAGCTGATTGCACGGTTTTCTCGGAATTCTCGTAAGTAGTCACCCAAGAAAAAGATTTCCAATGAGAATAAGAGAATCTATCTCTCTCACCCCTTTGTATTCTTAAATTCCTTGCTAAATTCTCCCCTACGAATATATTCGAAACTGTAACAACAACTGGGGGTATCTGAAGAGATGCAAATAGGTCAAAAACAGCCAGCATATTCATTCAGCAAAATGATGGAATAGCACGTTGATAATAAAAGGCGAAGATGGCAGGTGGAGTAGGGGGTGGGTAACAGAAGGTAAAGGGGTTTGGGACACATTGGGAAGGGCATCAAGGGGTTTGTGCAAATGACAACGAAGGGCAATAAATAAAGATGTAGAAATAAGGAGGTTGCAGTAGGACACTAGGGTAGTGTAACATAATTAAAGGCTGTGTAAGGAACTGGGACACCCCTACACTGGATTTGGGTCTTGGTCATCAGCCATTGACCTTGTGACACTAAATGGTGGGCACCCAATTACAAACTTAAGAAGACAGCATGGTTTGCACTGAAGGACTGACCTTTGACTCAAAATAGAAGGTATGGGGTCCTTCGTGGCTGACTGTGACTTCCCTTTTAGCTCCAAACACTCCATCTGTTAGATGAAAGGGTATTACTCAATCGGGTAAATGAATGAGAGATAACATGTTATCTCTGGACATCAGCCTTCCGTTAACAAGCATTGTATTCTAAGTCTTAATTTTGCAGTTTCCCAGGCATTTCACAATACAAAAGAGATGGAGAGATGAGGTACAGGGAGTAATCTGATCCAAGAAAGTTCTGGAAACAACTACACACAATCACACCTGGTACAGGTTAGAAAATGAGATTTTCCCCCCCTTATCTATCTACCTGTCTCTCTCTCCTCTGCTCTTCCTTTTAAAAATATTTTTTCTAAAAACCTTCTTGAATCCTCATCATGATATAGTAGCTAGTTTGTGATGAGATGTACATTTTTGAGATAAAAAATCACACATGTTCAGAATTTTATGCCTTTGGGGTGCATTTCATTTGTAACAATTTGCTATTGTCGCACCTTCAGCGCTCCATTACCAGGATGGCGATTCATTCAATAATTTATTTTCAAAGTTGCAAAAACCTATTAAAAGTATGTGCCCATTGGAATGTGTATTGAGAGAGAACAAACCGATATTTTCATTGGAATAATTACTCCCATTGTTTCTTGTATGCCTAGCTTCAAATCTCTACATAATCTGTCCTGATGGGTTACATTTGAAAAGTAGGACATGTACTCAGCAATAGAACTGGTACTTCTGCTCAAAGTTTCAATCTTCTTTAGTTCTCTCCTTCATTGAATCAGGAAAGTTTCCAAAAAAAGCACCTTTAAAAAAAAAATATGCCCCCAGGGCATGTAACCAAAACTTGACATTTTTCCTGAACTCAGTCTCAGTAGGTACGGCCATGTCACATTTCAGCTTTCCATGTTTCTGTTTGACTAAAGCAATAAGTATATATTTGAAAATATCTCCCCCTGAAATTTGTGCCCCCAGAGCATTTACCTCCAAAGCCTGAATTTTTCTGAATTCAGATTCCCAATATTTTGCAGTTTCCCAGGCATTTCACAATACAAAAGAGATGGAGAGATGAGGTACAGGGAGTAATCTGATCCAAGAAAGTTCTGGAAACAACTACACACAATCACACCTGGTACAGGTTAGAAAATGGGATTTTCCCCCCTTATCTATCTATCTGTCTCTCTCTCCTCTGCTCTTCCTTTTAAAAATATTTTTTCTAAAAACCTTCTTCTCTCCTCATCATGATATAGTAGCTAGTTTGTGATGAGATGTACATTTTTGAGATAAAACATCACACATGTTCAGAATTTTATGCCTTTGGGGTGCATTTTATTTGTAACAATTTGCTATTGTCGCACCTTCAGCGCTCCATTACCAGGATGGTGATTCATTCAATAATTTATTTTCAAAGTTGCAAAAACCTATTAAAAGTATGTGCCTGTTGGAATGTGTATCGAGAGAGAACAAACCGATATTTTCATTGGAATAATTACTCCCATTGTTTCTTGTATGCCTAGCTTCAAATCTCTACATAATCTGTCCTGATGGGTTATATTTGAAAAGTAGGACATGTACTCAGCAATCGAACTGGTACTTCTGCTCAAAGTTTCAATCTTCTTTAGTTCTCTCCTTCATTGAATCAGGAAAGTTTCCAAAAAAAGCACCTTTAAAAAAAAAATATGCCCCCCGGGCATGTATCCAAAACTTGACATTTTTCCTGAACTCAGTCTCAGTCCATGTCACGTTTCAGCTTTCCATGTTTCTGTTTGACTAAAGCAATAAGTATATATTTGAAAATATCTCCCCCTGAAATTTGTGCCCCCAGAGCATTTACCTCCAAAGCCTGAATTTTTCTGAATTCAGATTCCCAAAAGGTACTTAAGCATCAAGTTTCACCTTTTTATCTTTGGCCAATTTGCTAGGACAAAAAAAAATTATTTGAAAACGTCATCCCCCAAAAGTAAGCCCCCAGGGCAAGCATCTGAAACTTGACATTTTTCCTGAAATTTGGGTCACAGTCCTTGCCAAGTTTCAGCTATCCAAATCTCTCCATTTGACTGAAGCAAATATATATAATTGAAAACATCTGCCCCAAAATGGGTGCCCCCAGGGCATTTACCTCCAAAGTTGGATTTTTTCTGAACTCTGCATCCCAAAAGGTACATGTGTACCAAGTTTCAGATTTCTAATTTCTCTAGAACATGGTTAGAATTAGTGTCAGTCAGTCATGATCATCTACATATATTAGATGCTATAGAGACTGTCAGACTATGTCCAACAGTAGACTGCAAAGGGTTAAACTCAGCAAAATTGAAACATTTCTGGGAAGTATTTGTAATTAATGTAAACTAGTGATCCCTAAATAGAAAGGTTAATATGTATCTAACTAGGACATACCATGTACTTGATCAGAATCATATTCTTTCTTGAGTGTTGTAATGAAGTCATTGTACAGCTGCTGGGCACTATCTCCAGTCAATGACTCATGAAACTGGAGCTTATTCCCATTGAGACCACCATAAAGGGCAAACTGACTCAGTACCAGAACAGGAAGATTCTTCTCTTTCACAGTGGCATTAAAATTCTCTCCCTCTCCATCTTCATAGATTGCTGCATCTAACAATGACCTCACTCTGAAGAAGACAAGAAATCAGTTTCGTTCCTGTTGTGATGATAATGATAAAAAGCTGTTGATTTCTGCATATATTTGCTCACATTTTCTCCATGTCCTTCACAGTATCTTGCTTCCGAATGCCAAGAAGTACAAGGACACCACGTCCAATTCCACACACCACTTCTCCATTCACTGACAAAACATTAAGGCAACTTCAGATATTTTGAAGAAGGAGATATTCCAAACTGATTAATGCAATGTAAAAATTAAAAAATATATAAAACTGACACATAGGTAATCATATATGAGAGTTGTCTGTACTTCACAGTGTTTCACTCATCAGGGAAAGATTAAGATAAGGATTTTCGATTTCACTTAAAACTAATGAAGATGCAAATACTTTATCCCAGGGATTTAATACCCATTACAAGCTGACTTCCTTTTCAAGACAATGTAGTCTACACAAATATGAGTGCAATTTTGAATAAATGCTTGGTATAAGGGGGGAGGAACATCTATTTATCATAATGGAAATGGTGTCTCCTTGTATCCCATAGGAGTAGTAGCATAAAATAAAGAAAACAAGCAACATACAAAATAAATGCAATGCAACACAGGTCAGGCTATAATCTTTATAATCACAATGCAAAGCTATTCCAGTATGGAAAATTCACATAGTTGGTGTCCTTATTAGGAAATCTGAGTTCACAAGAAGTTTCTTATGTGAAATTCATTCAGAACAGAGGCCATTGACACTGCATGGGCCACCATGCGTTGACATGGGTATCATTGCCAACAACTCATCATCACTGATCTTCACATTTTTGACAAAGACTCATGAGTCATAACTTGCAGCTTGTAATTCTTCTTTTTTTGCAGGAGNAAGTTTCAGATTTCTAATTTCTCTAGAACATGGTTAGAATTAGTGTCAGTCAGTCATGATCATCTACATATATTAGATGCTATAGAGACTGTCAGACTATGTCCAACAGTAGACTGCAAAGGGTTAAACTCAGCAAAATTGAAACATTTCTGGGAAGTATTTGTAATTAATGTAAACTAGTGATCCCTAAATAGAAAGGTTAATATGTATCTAACTAGGACATACCATGTACTTGATCAGAATCATATTCTTTCTTGAGTGTTGTAATGAAGTCATTGTACAGCTGCTGGGCACTATCTCCAGTCAATGACTCATGAAACTGGAGCTTATTCCCATTGAGACCACCATAAAGGGCAAACTGACTCAGTACCAGAACAGGAAGATTCTTCTCTTTCACAGTGGCATTAAAATTCTCTCCCTCTCCATCTTCATAGATTGCTGCATCTAACAATGACCTCACTCTGAAGAAGACAAGAAATCAGTTTCGTTCCTGTTGTGATGATAATGATAAAAAGCTGTTGATTTCTGGATATATTTGCTCACGTTTTCTCAATGTCCTTCACAGTATCTTGCTTCCGAATGCCAAGAAGTACAAGGACACCACGTCCAATTCCACACACCACTTCTCCATTCACTGACAAAACATTAAGGCAACTTCAGATATTTTGAAGAAGCAGATATTCCAAACTGATTAATGCAATGTAAAAATTAAAAAATATATCAAACTGACACATAGGTAATCATATGTGAGAGTTGTCTGTACTTCACAGTGTTTCACTCATCAGGGAAAGATTAAGATAAGGATTTTCGATTTCACTTAAAACTAATGAAGATGCAAATACCTTATCCCAGGGATTTAATACCCATTACAAGCTGACTTCCTTTTCAAGACAATGTAGTCTACACTGATATGAGTGCAATTTTGAATAAATGCTTGGTATAAGGGGGGAGGAACATCTATTTATCATAATGGAAATGGTGTCTCCTTGTATCCCATAGGAGTAGTAGCATAAAATAAAGAAAACAAGCAACATACAAAATAAATGCAATGCAACACAGGTCAGGCTATAATCTTTATAATCACAATGCAAAGCTATTCCAGTATGGAAAATTCACATAGTTGGTGTCCTTATTAGGAAATCTGAGTTCACAAGAAGTTTCTTATGTGAAATTCATTCAGAACAGAGGCCATTGACACTGCATGGGCCACCATGCGTTGACATGGGTATCATTGCCAACAACTCATCATCACTGATCTTCACATTTTTGACACAGACTCATGAGTCATAACTTGCAGCTTGTAATTCTTCTTTTTTTGCAGGAGACTCTAGCTCAATTGTGACTGGTCCATCATTCACAATGTCAACTTGCATGTATGCACCAAATCTTCCATCTATAAAAAAAAAAAAATTGTGGAAATGAATCCCAAGAGATATTCAATTTTTGTTTATGAAAGATGGGAAGAGTGGTAATGGATTTGTATGTAAAGCTACCTTTGACAAGATCTGGATCATACTGACTCCTTAGTTCAGCCAGAAATTTTTCATAGAATGCCTGTGAATCCTCTCCACTCATTGCATTGTGAAAGTCCAGTCGATTGCCCTTCAATATCCCATAGAGTGTGAACTGGCTCACACATAATATCTCATACCGTTTCTCCTTCACACTCACATTCCACCTCTTGCCATTATCATCTTCAAATAATCGGGTGTTCAGAACTTTTCGAACCCTGTATTGGAAGGATATCAATCATATGATAAATGGAGCAATGCATAGCAACAATAACATGGACTACTTGTGAAGAACTCACATGTATTCAATGTCTGATTGGTTGTCACTTCTCTTGATTCCCACCAGAACACACAAACCTCTCCCAATTGCACTGACCAATTCACTGTCCACTAGAATTGAGGACCAGTACAAGGGCTTAGGCCTCCCAAACTTATTTTTAGCTATATCCCAAAACTTGAGATTTCAATATTAACTGTTCTTTCTAACTCTGCAAAAACACCAATGTAAGTCTGAATACTGGAGATATGCTTCCAGTTGGCTACCAATGGTATACTAATGGTTAAAAGCCTGCACTTGCCATGGGGAAGTTTCTATCCCATCATCAACATTATGCGGTACAGATGAACCCCAGGTTCCTGATGTAATGACATGCTACCTGCTTCTCAGCAGGCATTTGGGCCGTGTCTAACTCATAGACGGCATCTAGCTTAGCTACATCAAGATGAAAATAAATTAGTTAAATTGGCTTACCTGAAACACTTGCCTTTGTAACACGCTGTACAATTGCCTTCATTCTTGATAAGTCAAAGCTGATTTCTCAGGAGTAGCAGTTGGGATATTACAAGTTTACACATTTGGGAAGATGAGGCATCGAGTATGTAATCGAATAAAGCTGGATCTCACTGCATCAAATAGCCAGCTCAAATTCTGACAGTGCCAGGGCAGGCTGTCCCAGAAAACCTAATGAAAAAGACCTCGTTTATTAGTCCTTCAAGCACTGAGTTTGGACCTGACCTCCTAAGTGATAAACTTGAAATGTATGTGAAAACTGCTTGAGGGGTTAGACAATTATTCAATGTATCACAGAATCATATTAAAGCCATCTGTGGCTAGTTGCAATTAAGAGTGTAGTTTAGGTTGATACTTTTTCTTTTTAGTATTAGGCTAGCCCGGCGATTAAGACATAGTGAAAGGATAGTCGAATCGAAGTACTTTTACCCTCTCATAAATAGCAATTTAAAAAAAACCCTCAGGGAAACAAGTTCACTCTGAGGTGCTGTTGCCGGTGCTAATGCATCATGGAGGGACATGTCATGCCCAGCACGTGTTGCGAAGGTTGAGTGCCATCTGTCCTTCATCATAGTAAACTTTCATTTCTATCGAATCCCAACAGATGACTCTACCAATATCAGACGTCTGGAGGGATTCGAGGGAGAGTTCAAGGTGGAAGGATAGGGGTGCAGGCCGCAGGTGTTGTTAGACCTCCAATGAACCGAGACTGTGTCAGAATATGTATCACCTACTGATAGCTTAGTCCGAGTGCCCATCTTTGACTTATTTTTGGCTCTTGCTGGCTTGGCGTGCAAGCCTCGGCCCTAGACTTGTCCATCTCCTTGCCCATATAAGTACTTCTCGCTGGATTGGAGAAGTTAGAAAACCGGTTCCTAGTGCATGAAATAAGCCTGACGATCTTATCAGCCTCCCAAGCAGTAAATATAAAGTGTTGCTTCGAAACCGAATCTGATAGGCTATAGGCTAAGTGAAAAGTGCCATTCAAATTTCAGTAACTGAGTCTGTTATTTCTTAAGTAGGCCTAGACCTAATGAATGTCGGTACTCCAGGGTGCAGGAGTATTGGCTTACCTAACCCAAATGCTATGACAATGGGAAATGTCAATTTGCAAAATATATAGATTTTGCACTGATGGCTTTCTTGGTACAGTCTTTTCCCCTTCAGTTAGACACTATTTCACTTGACTTCCACACCCATGCATGACAAATGTCCCATCCACATGTGTCTAACTCAAGTGAAAAACAATTATACATGCCAGGTTGAAGGCCCTAAGATTGTACCCCAGTATGGAAAGAGCAGAAAATATTAATACCTTTGTAGTGAAAGTGCAGGATTAATTTTTTAAATTTATTCTTAATGTGTCAAGTGGCCTGAGATGATGAGTACTTCAAATCCATAAACATGTATCAAATTATTTATTTTGGCATTGTGCAGGGTATAGGACATAGATCTAATTATTTATCTGAGGCATAAATTCCTAAGTCTAAAGAAAGCCTGTCTATTAATTTATCAAAGTTTTAATTGTTAACTTGGAAACTTCACTTAATCTTAACACAAATGCTAATCAAATCAAGCCACCAAATATTTGAGTTGGTTCTATTCCTTGTGCCCATGGTTAAATTTTGACCACTTTTACCAAGTTGTTCCAAAATGCTGTTAGTAACTCTTTGATTAAGGAGTACCTTTCCTGGTATTTATCCATGTTCAAGAATGGCCATTCAATCCAAAGCTCTGTTATTTGCATGTTTTTATTCGTGAATGATATTCTTGCACTGTCATCCATTTCATTCCAAATTCACTGTCATCAATTGTCTTTGGTAGTAAGTAGCTTCTTGTAACATAGTTCATCATCTGTAACTAGTTCCTTTTTCAGTGATAAGGCCTATTTTACTTGCTATGTACATTGTCAATAATGTATTAAAAGTTATACTCAAGTTCCTTTCTTGTGGCAGGAGTATTAATTGATATTCAGGATGTCATATATATTAAATAACACTTTAAATAGGTGTTGATTCCTTATTCATTGCTTTCAAATCAATTGAAGTTTGGCATTTTAATAGAAAATGGGTATAAGCTTTTTTTTTTCTTAGTTTATTTTATCATGTCTTGCATACACAGAATATGTATGAATGGAGTTGAAAAATAGTTGTTTTTTTTTTTTTCAAAATATGATTTCCTTTAGGTGAGAATCAGTGGGGAAACAGAAATGATTGGAAACACTTAGAAGGGTGATGGAAACTACTGTGGTACATGCATTAAAATGGGAGTGATGAGGATCAAAATTAGCTGTAAGGTTTTTGTCTAGAGGTTTTATGCTATTAAGAAATTTTTTTTAATACTTGTGGTTTTCTTGGTTCAAAAAACGGACTTCCTTCAATTATGGTCTCTCTTGCCATGGTTGAATGGTGCCAGTTCATGATCTTTCAGCTTCATTTGTGTACATCTTGCATTTGTGAGATTTTTTCTGATGAGCAATGTAAGGAAAACTTGCACCAAGATGGAATTTCATTGATTTACAAGCAATGCATAAGGAATTAAGACTTTTTTGACTTGCCTCAATGTCTGGGATGCCCTGCAATTGAACTTTGAAATGGAAATGGAAGGAAATGCAATTCAACCTGGCTTACAAATGCAGGGCAGCACTCTGCATTTGTAAGCCAGAAGCAACAGGAGACAAGCTTGCTCTATTCTGAACTCGAAAGAAAAGCATATGAAGCAAGAAAGAAATGTTGCTGAAAGCCATGTCTCTCGCCCATGCCAGGCCTTCTCGTTGCATTTCCACAGTGCATTTGCGTATAATGTGAATATTTCAATTAATCTTGTTGGCAACTTTCAATGCGCTTGGTCACGGAGGCAGAAACCTCTAGCAAATATGAATACCAATAATATGGAGTTATTGTTGGAGTTTGCCCAAGGATTGGATTTTCGTACGCAACTGATGGGTAATCAAATTCCGGCAAAGATGTAAACAAGGAGGAGGAGGGGGCGTTTTGGGGCACCCTATACAAACTCAAAATAGCATCTTTGATTGCCACCGCTATTAACTTGTAAGGGTAGCACGTGTCGGCCCATATAGAGGTGGTGTCAAAGCAATCTTTCCAAACCCTATTAGACCAAATGCAAATTGATGCTGCCTCAAAGAAATTAAATTTCCATGCGATTTCGTCAGCTTGTAGAACCTTTTTAAGAACTGACAGCATCAATTGACTAAGTAAAGGGTGATGGTTTTTTTTTCCTGAGAATTTTGCGGGGGACCCCATTCCGTTTGCTCTCCCATCCAGTGTAACGTTTTATGAGACAAACCATCCGTATCAAATGGGAGAGTCGCGTCATTTTCGCTGACCTGGAAAGTATGGAATGGGGAAATTTATTACATACCACGGTCATCCACACGCTGCACGCCTCCTGAGTCTTTCAATGCAGCTCGTGCAGTTCTGTCGTGACCGAGTGTGTGATCCTCTCGTCCCCCGACCGATCTGGCTTGGATTCTTGCATGCTTAAATCGTCCTTCGGGAAGGGGAGGGGAATGTGGGTGAATTCCATTTCACCATGGAATTTCCCTGGTGTCCCCAGAGTCGTTATCGTGCTCGTGTAAAATTTATTGGCGTGAGCGTTGCATGCTTGATAAAAGTGCTCGTTCGAGTCTGTCGTAGAATATGATCAGGCATTCATGAAGTGCGCCCGACTGAAATCAGCGTCGATCCCAGTCTTACCGGAGTGTTCACAACTTAGGGACACATTTGTTGTGAGAGAGATGAGAGAGAGAGCAAAAGCCAGACTGAGACGCATTCATTTTTCTGATTCCTCGAGACTTTTTTTCTTTCTCGTTGACCCTGATGACGCCTAACGCCTCGTGTCGCGTTTGGGTTTCCTTAGAAGGAGACAGTCTGCTCCCTCTCTTGACGCATTTCATTTTCCCCATAAGATGCCAAACATGTATATGATCACATTTGAATTTCTTATTTCCACATTTGACTTGGAAAACCTAAACTAGTACGTGCGATGGGAATTCCCATATCGCTTTCTATCCTTGGGTGGGCAGAGTCCTTCCCTTGCCCTTTCGAGAAGTCGATTTTCCATACAGGGGTGTTCCGAGAAGTTCCTATCTACAGTATTTTGGAGAATAGGGATAAGGTGCGGTTATTTATTACATGAACTTGAAGTATGTTTTATATCGTAAAGAACCCAATTCGCTGAACTTCTACGACGGCACGTCTCGCTTACTTCTCTTGTGCTACGGAAGTCATAGCCGAGCATTTGTAGGGTAATGTGATCAATTTCGTTCCGGTTGCGGTTCCTCAGTTTCTGAGTGCTATTCACCTTGATCCGGGAAACAAGGCAAAAAACCCCGCCCAAAAAAAGTCTAGTGAGATCAAAAGACCGTGGTGCCCATGGTCTGTTTCCTCCCCGGTCAATACAACGCTGTGGGAACCGATTGTTGAGATAGTCACGGGCGATGCCAAATTGGGAGGTGCACCATCCGGTTGGATATTTACTAAGTGGCTCGTGGAATATGCGTTCGAACAACTTCGTCTGAGAATTTCCGTCCAACTCCGAATTAGCAAGTTTAATCTGTTCCTCTGGGGTCTGCATGCCGTATTCTAATGTAAAGACGGAGTTTACATGATCGAAACTGGAAGTGCTTTCCTATTGCAGCTGCTCCTCCCCTCTCATCTACGATAGACTTTGCTAATTTTCTTTCAAGATGTTTGAAGTTCTCATCAGGAGGTTCTGCAATTTGTGCCAATTTACTAGTTACCATCTCCTTTTCCTCCTCCTATCAAACACGCTGTGTGAAGCGAATGATGATAAGGCGTATTTCCGATGAGAGGAACTACGTCTTATCGGGAACGTCGTGTAGATCAATAGGATTTCCTGATATGGAGCCTGCAGGGAAGACCTTCGAACGGCATTTACAATGCGAATAACGGCAGCGCAGTTGAAACGTCGATGATTCATATTCACTTTGTACCTTTCGAATAGGCAGCATGCACGAATGACAAATTAGCGATTCACGCTGCGAGAAGCAAGACTATGACATGCAGCTTTCTCCGTCATGATAGGGGCCACTCCTCAAGGATGCTGATTCATCAATCCAACCTTGACTTGTGAGGATAGCGGTGCTTGAGGGAAGCCGGCGACCTTCCGGAAAGAACCGGTGGAGTCGCCTTTTGGACTCTATCGACTCCATCACCTCTTTGAGGATCCGAGGGCGTAATTACCCATATGCCATCAACAAATGCCTTCTAGCTCTCGTGACATCCCGGGAAAGGTCGACTCATGATTCAAGGTAAAGAAACCGGTTTGCTTTGTCGGTAGAATGTGCCTGGACGAACGATCGTCTTTCGCGAAGACACTCTCGGTCGTCTGCAGTCACTCTGCTCCCTTCGTGTCGATCGGTCGTCTCTGTTCTGGAATAACAGACGTCGGGCAGTGTTTGCACAGGCCGATCGTTATTAGATCCCTCTTTGACATGAAGCGGGGAATAGCCGCAATTTGGGTCAGGCTGAGATATCGTGTATATGCACAATATCGTCCGTTTCGCGTAATGTAGGCTGATGTGAGGTGATTTGCGTTTCTCGTCTGTCAAAAGTCGGAATCTTTTCATGGATTCATGTAGAATCCATGAAGTAGGCCCATAACTGTGTGTACTTCCCCTTCGACCTTTCATTGTCCACGCCACGATCGTACGATAGTGCGAAGACGACCACAGCTGCCAGCATCAGTCTCATTGACCTTACAGCCTCCTTACGCGAAAGGCTTCCCAGTGTCTCGAGTGGCGACGCTCACCTTAATAGGGGCGGAGGCCATTTCACGCACTATTGGTCATGCCTGTATCATAAAATTCCGAGGCAATAGAAAAGAGCATCGGTTGTTCCAGGGTGCTAACGTGAAGAGGAGATGCGCCTCTTCGCGCTTGGTTTCTAGTCGTGTGTGACAGTGCTTGTCGGGAGTGCCCTTTAGAGCTCGTAGTGAAAAGCAGTGGACTCTTTGTAAGGAAATGGACTGAACGCATTTAAAATGCCAATCACGTTCTTGTTTCAGGTTGAGTGGGTCCTGGCAGCGTTGCTGGGGAGCCCTCTGCCTTCACGAGCAGAGAAAGCATGAATGAAGGTGTCAGGTGATTCTGGCTTTCTTCATTGCATGAAGAGCCTCAGGTTCTTCGGTGTCAGGAGAAAAACCAAAATCCTGATTTTTGTGTCTCTTGTGTGGATTCTATCCATCCCGGTGTATCTCCTCTTCAGTCGAAATGCTCTTGGGGTATGAATTCAACTCTTTCAAGTGTTCTGGAATGAATGAATACATGCATGCATGTTTTTAATCAGGGAACATAGTACTTGGTAGATTGAACAATTGAACGAATAAGGGGAATTAAAAGAGAAAGATTTAATATTAGGAAAAGTTGTCATCTAATCATGCTGGAAGTTGAACAGTTGGACGCAAAGTGTATGACCGTTTGATCCGACACTCGCGAACCTGAGGCGACAAATTGGAATTTCCCGGGAAGAATATGCAAGCGAACTAAGCGGGCCGCCCGCCCGCGCGTCTCCGTTCCCGCGAACCTCGTTCGCAGGTTCGCAAGGGCTTTCCTAGCCTGCTCTCGAATCGGTTTGGATACATTTTGACCTAGATCGGTACTTGATCTATGACGGAGCCCAAGTAAGATTGAAACCAGGTCGAATATGGTTAAAATCTGGACTTGTGCTTCCTATTGGGACTAATTGTGCAGCGAAAACCGGGAAATTTTAATCAGGTCTTTAGTCTTTCATGCAATGACAATAATTTCTTAAAAGGCTGAAATAAGTTTTTTTTGTGATTCAGTATATGGCTGCATTCATACATATCCTGGAAGATTCAGTCACGTTGAGTCTTTGCTAGCCTCATTTAATTGCCTGTTCTTAATCCCAAGTGACTCAAACCTTTATTTTCTATTATATATATATATTTTTTTTACAGGAGGAATACAATGAAGGATTGAAGTTGAAGTCAAATTTCAGTCCCAATGAAGTTCCCTCTATGCTTCGTCTGTCCAACTCTGAGAAGCAAGAGTGGAGATACTTTGATGAGAGAAAATACATAGAAGAGAAGTCTCTAAGGGTTGGAGAGGATCCATACAGGAGAAATAAATTCAATCAGGCCATTAGTGACTCCTTGAAGACCAACCGACCCATTCCAGATACAAGACATCCTGCGTGAGCTGAAATTGTTATTGTTCAGCACATCGTACAGGGATGGTTGCCTTCATGCTTTTTAAAAATACATTCCTGACATATTTCTCCTCAAACAGTTGTCAGAATGTGATGCTACACGATGATCTTCCTTCTGCAAGTGTGATCATTACCTTTCATAACGAAGCCCGTTCTGCCTTGCTGAGGACTATAGTCAGGTATGCTGCATGTGCACATATGCTCCTATGAATGTTATGAGCATGTTTGCATCTAAACAGTTGCATCCAAGTTACCTTTTCTCTTTCCCCACAGTGTCCTGAACAGGAGTCCAGAGAAGTTAATCAAGGAGATAATTTTAGTGGATGATTTCAGTGATGATGGTGAGACATCTCATTTTAAATTGCATGGCTTCAGTTTCAGTTGACAGCTAACTTAATGAAAGTGCATTCTGTTCTTCAGCTTCTGATGGAGAAGAACTGGAAAAACTGGAGAAGGTGCGAGTTCTCCGCAATGATAAAAGAGAGGGTATGTGTCATACTTTTATGCAGTCCTACGGCAGTATCATGGGACTGCATCTGTGGAATCTGTGGGGGATCCTCATCTTTTCACATAAAATCAAGTGCTAGTAAATTTTGATTGCAGGTCTGATGCGTTCTCGAGTTAAAGGAGCTGATGCAGCCGAAGCTGAAATCCTCGTCTTTTTGGACAGCCATTGTGAATGCAATGTGGGATGGCTAGAGCCCCTACTGCAGCGTATTGTTGAGGTGAAACTTTCTCTCTCTAGTGAGCCAGGGTCAAACAACTTCTTCCCTGAAAATAAGCATTCTCTTTCCTCTAATAGGATCGGATGCGAGTGGTGAGCCCCACCATTGACGTGATCGACTTGGATAACTTCCAGTACAAAGCAGCTTCCAGTAACCTGAAAGGTGGATTTGACTGGAATCTAGTCTTCAAATGGGTGCGCCTCACTCCCAGTGAACGGGAGCATCGTGAAACTCACCCTACTGATTCTATCAGGTTGCCCCTACTCTACTTTTCTGTTTGTTCCTTGCGTGCTGAATTTCTTTGACTTTTTTTTTTCATACCCACACAGGACTCCAATGATAGCTGGTGGACTTTTTGCCATAGACAGACGCTTTTTTGAGAAGTTGGGGAAATATGACATGCAAATGAATATATGGGGCGGAGAGAATTTTGGTTAGCCTCACTGTATCTCCCTGGACATAGATGGCATTAATCAGGGTAGCAGTTGTCATAATGATGTATTTCCTATTCCAGAAATATCTTTTCGGGTGTGGAGCTGTGGTGGGAGCCTTGAGATTCTGCCATGTTCCCGAGTGGGTCATGTATTCCGGAAACAGCATCCATACTCTTTCCCAGGAGGCGGAGGAGGTCATGTTTTTATGTACAATACCCGGCGCACTGCTGAGGTGTGGATGGATGAGTACAAGACTTTATATTACAAGGCTGTTCCTCTTGCTCAACGTGTGCCTATTGGAGAGTAAGTTTTGTTTTTCTGAAGTACAACTGTTAAAGATTCATGAAGTATTGAAAGGTGTAAGCCTCATGTATCTTATGTTTCACATTTTCAGCATTTCAGAGAGGTTGGCCTTGAGGAAGTCTCTTGGGTGCAAACCATTCTCTTGGTACCTAGAGAACATATATCCTGAATTGCGAGTTCCCTCTGAATCCAGTGGAGGTGGGAAGTCATTTCCTGAACTTAAGCAAGGATCTCTGTGTTTGGATTCCTTAGGAAAAGGGTATTCTAATCCCATCTACCTCTACCCTTGCCATGGTCAAGGTGGAAACCAGGTGAGCAGACTTTGAATCCTATCACAATGATTGCAGAAATCTCCATATGTTCTAAATGGATGTTCTAGTTCTCATACCTATGACAATTGTGAATTGATCTGGCAGGCATGGGCTCTGACATCAAATGGACTATTGGAGAATCTGAATGGTCAAGGGTGTTTAGAACTCCAAATGGGTTCTACCTTGAATGTCATCCATGCTTTATGCTCTCCCCACAACCCCAATCAGGTAGGAGCTAATGCATGTTATTATCAGAAAAAAAAAGTGTGCCAGTCATGCGATGTAATGTTTTGGACCTCGTTCTCTCATTTTCTCAATAGATGTGGACTTACTTGGAAAAGCAGCTGATGCTGAAGCACCAAAATTCACAGATGTGCCTAGATTCCCAGTCAAATAACGAACTGCTGGACCTGAACTCTCGACCTGTGATTGCACGCAACTGTCGACCCGACTCAGCATCTCAGAAATGGTTTCTTACTACTTCCTAAATTGATGGATCTCCTCCTGTCAGTTTCCTTCTCTCTGAAGCAAGCCGAAATTTTCATTTTTAACAAAGAGATTATGCTAAGGTGATGCTTATTGAAATGGGCTACAGCTCTATGGGCTTCCATTTTGAACCATTTGGATACAATGACTTTAAAAAAATTGTATGTAGTGTTATAATTCCATGTCTTCATGGTGTCAAAAAAAATAACTTTATGGGCATATTTCTGCTGGATACTGGCATCTAATTACTTATGAACTGGACTTGGACTTAAGAAACTTTGTGTGGGTCAGCATTCTGCAGTGTTGTATGCATGATATTATTTTTTTGTTTTTATTGAATGTATTTTGTTGGACTTGTACCACCCCACAAGTCAAATAGTTCAGGGTTGCAATCCTTATCATCCCATATTCACAAGTGATTTTTATGTAGCAATACCAGATTAGGCAAATGTGATGGACCCATCCATTGAAGGATTCAATCAGCTAGATTGTCTTGTTTTTTTCATGTTTCGTTGCTGGCATTTATACTATAAACTTTGTTCCAATGTTATTGCATTATACACAAATACTCAGGTGGAATGCACCAGAAATGCATATTTCTGTATGTCTCTTGAGTGGAGCCAGATTTTTGTACTATCAGCTAGGAAATGTAAAACAAGAAGCATCCTAAATCCATCAATCCCAACGAAATTGTTTTTGGTGAGCCATTTTCATGATTTTCATTTGTATCATGTAAGGCTGGGAGAAGTTATGTTGGAACTCTGTTTTGATGTATTTGTGGTCTCTGAATATTTTAATGCCAGGAATCGAGACTAGTCACATTATTTTCTACATTTATGTAGAAACTTCAAACTTGTTTTGTCCCCTATTACTTGGAGCATTTGTTTTTTTTTTCCAAGTTCTTGAAAGTGGTTTGTGATCAAAATCAAAGCTTTAATATATGTTCTTATGGGAATTTAACTCATTTTTGCTCCCAAATGGAAAATGTTATCCCTTCTAGGTATACTCTGCATTTAATTGCATTGCATTGCTAACCTTGAAGTAAGTTTTCTTGCTCATACCCATGTACCAGTGAGTTCCATTCCCCACCTTCTCATACTTCTTTTTGAATGAGATTGTGATAGAGGATATTGACCCAGTGATGTACTTGGCAGTACTTTTATGTGACTTATTGTCAGTGCATGTTGTTGGAACAGCCAATAAAGGCCTGTTGTAGCATTTAGTACTCATAGTTTCATTCATCTGAGGCTTGAAAAGCTAACGACAATGAAGAACTGCATATGAAGTTGAATATAGTGACTGTGATGTCAGTTGGGCCTGTCTCTGCCCATTGGTCACGAGAGCTCTTTTCATGAAATGTCAATAAATTTGTGTGCGTTACATTTACTTGCAACTCATAATCTTCATTCCCAGGAGTCACACGAATTAGGTTATTCATACAAAAAAAGAAAGAACTTGGTCGTCTCTATCATATCAATGAGTATCACTTGTAATATTTGTACGATAAAATGAGAGGTACTGGATGTGATAACATTCCACATTTGGAGAGACTGTTCATGACAACTGGATGAATGCTAGCATGGAAAATTCCATGCTGAGTGATGATCCCCATTCACGAAGAGAATTTTTTCGCCTTTTCAGTGATCTAAGATGAATAAATATCCAGATTTCACATTTCAAAATAAACTTTCAAAGCACGTCACGTCCCACAGTCACAAAACGACCTTCCTACTTTTTCTAGCGAACCACGTTTGCATGAATCTTGTGTTCCAGGGAATGACTGACCATCATGGTGAAAGCTTCCAAAATTTGATGCGGTTGTGCTTTTTTTTTGGGGGGGGGGGGGGAAAATTTTTACATTTATTTTGTCCGTGATGGCACACAACCTCTCTTTAAAACTATTGGGCAACCGTTACGCTACCCGTTACATTACATGACATCATACTTGAGTGCCCACGCTTTTATCACCCAACAAGTAAAAAGTTAATTCTGCAATTCATGTCTTACCCCAATGCGCTTTGGTTCTCCCGAGTTTTGCTTTTACCATAGAGTTAGAAAATCGCGTCACGCTCCAAATTAAAATCCCTTTTAATTGCAGGTCACCAAGACTGAAAACACTTCAAATGAAATTTCTCTCACATTCGGCCTTTGGTTTCCCACAGAACATTCGAGTCCCTCAACGACTCTTAAAAGGACACAAACACTAATTGAAAAATTTTATTTTTCCTCACTTCCCCTCCTTTTTTACTTTGAAAAAGCAAAAAAGAAGTAAACTGCAGAGTAATTTTCCTCTCTTTTCATTCCCATCAGAGCGTACTCTTAAATCGCCTCACCATGCTTATCTTCGCCAGTACAGAAACCCGGAAGAACTCAACATTTACTCTTGCAGAACGTGAAGCTTTTTATTTTATTTTTATTCTTCACTCGCTGAATTTTTGTGCTCTCAGGAAGGCAGCTAAAATTGTACCATTTACCACCATTTAAAAATTAGTCTCCTCTCTCTCCGACGAATTATCAATTAAGCACCCATTTGCTTTACTTACCTAATGATTTCCCGTGAGAAACTGCAACGAAACCCTCTACACATTCCAAATACACTATATACAGGTCAAATCTCGTTACAACGAATTCCGTTGCGACGAAAATCTCATTATAACGGAAATATTTCCAAACCCCGGCCGATGGCTCATAGTAATTGTACTTTGTTGATCTCGTTACAATGAAATTCGTTACTACGAATAATTCAGTACAACGAATGCATTTTTCCAGTCCTTGTACGTTACTCACGTACGTTACGTTAATAATCACTCGTTATAACGAGAAAACATCTAACACATGATTGTTTACGAAGAGGCAATCGTCTGCGGTTCGCGACAATCCCCTCCTTCCCTTTGGACCTTGAGAGAGTCGGAATTCTGTTTCCCACGCTTGTGGCCTAAAAAGTGTTAGCGTAAGGAGGAACGTACAGTAGTCGGCACTGGCTAGCCTTGGGCGAAACTTCATCACTTAAAACACAGTGTACTTGTGTGCCCCATCACGCAGACATGACTAACAAGGGAAGCAAGAAACGCTGGCAGTTTTCGTCGGAATAAAAAAAAAAAAAAAAAGACAGTAGTGAAAGCAGTATAGGTAGATTCCGGCAGGAAAAATGGAGACGTGGCAAATGAATTCGGCGTCACTCCCTCTACGTCATCCACGATCTTGAAGGATCCTGCCGAAATTGAAGAATTGGTGAGGAAAGCGGCTCTAGGACCAAAACGAAAGAGAATGCATGGTGCACTCTACGATGACATTGACAAGGCAACTCAAACTTTCATGCAATCCAAAATTAAAGATTTTCCCCAAACAAAATAAAGCAGAAAATTACTGCATCTGTAGCCTGTACGTTGGAAGGCATAGCTAATTTGAATAGAGAATGTTTCTTTTGAACTTATTTCGAGCAACATTCGATACAACGAAATAATCTGGATACTCCCTTGAAGTTCGTTGCAACGAGATTTGACCTGAACATATACTGAACATGAACTCGTGCATGAACAAATACGTACATGAATCCCCCTTATCCTCCATACACATCACCCAATCGTAAATGTCAGTTCGGCATTGGAAGAACGCTGGCTCCTTGGACCGTGCTTTGATTCCCGAATGAACGAGAAATTCCAGGATTTCATCCTGTCATCCCTTGAATCATCCCCTGTCATCCCTTGTCATCTCTTGTCATTCTTCCCGTGGTCTTCCTCGGAATGCTCGTCCCCCCCCCCCCCCCCAAATTGCTCTTATTCATAAAAATCGATTGGAACTGAGGGACTCTTTATGAGTGGAAGGGGTAAATTCATCAGTAAACTCATTAGTAAATTATGTAAATTCATTAGTAAATTATGTAAATTCATTAGTAAATTATGTAAATTCATTAGTAAATTATGTAAATTCATTAGTAAATTATGTAAATTCATTAGTAAATTATGTAAATTCATTAGTAAATGATTCGTCAATTCATTAGTAAATGATTCGTCAATTCATTTATTTAAATATTTCATCCGTGTTTTGGAATTTTGAATATAATAAATTCCGTGATATGTGAGCGAGTAAGCTGTAATCAAGATAAGTTGAGCCATTTTTTTTTTTGCTTTTATGCTCCGTAACGAAGCTGCAAGTAAAAAAAAAAAATTACTTAAATTGACTGGGATTTATTTTCGGTCTCAGGAGATAGCCTTCCAGAACCAATCGAGGGCAGTCACATGAATTTTATCGTTCCCCGACAAGCCAGTCACGTAAAAGGGAGCGAATGGAGGACGGCATTGTCACAAGCCGATGTGATTTGGGCATTCTGAGAATTTGAGGCCTTTCTTCTTCAGCTCTTGTTCTGGAACTCACTGACTGCGTGGAATGCGAAGCATCTACAATTCCGGCCAGGGAATCGTGCTTGGCGATGCTCAGCTTACGAAGGCAATCACGCTCGAGGATCTCGACGTTCCCATGACCTTTCCCTCCCCGCCCTCGATCCTACACATCTATAAGAGTCCATTAAACCCAGAAGCTCATGGTGAAAACGACAAACGGCAGCGACGCACCCAGCGATGCGTAGCCTCTCGACGCCTGCTCTCCCCTCCTCGGGCCCCTCCGAGCTTCTTCGGGCATCCTCGGGCATCCTCGACTGCTTTTGGCGGGACGGGCAGGGGCAGACTCGACGGTTACCAGCGTGGTCATCACACTCTGACGAGGAGGACGCGAGCGCCGTTCGTTCGTCTCTGCCCACGTGGCGTCATCCCGAGGCCGATGGGGGTCATCAAGTCCATTTCCTTCCAGATTCCCACTGCCTTCGCTCGCGGAAGCCTTCGGGCCATTGAGTTTGCTTTCTCGGCCGCATAGGGAAAAGAGGCTATCAAAATATCAGGAACGAAAAAACGCTAACTCATTAAGTCCCATCGAGTGAACTTTTCCATTATCAATCGTGGTTTCTTAAAAAGTCAACGGTGACTGCTTTGTCAAACTTCAGTTGCAAAAGTGGAAACGATCGAGTGCAGATTTGAAGCGTTCATCTCTGACACCTAAATTTTTTTTTTCGGAGAAGGAAGGCTGCAAATATTCCATCCCTCATTGGCATCTCTCAAAGGAATCGCTGCAATCTTCAGTTTAACTTCAATCGGTCCGACGAACGATGCAGGGTTGTCACGTGACAACACTGCATCGTTCCTCACAGGACCCAGTGAAGCAGCGCTGCAATCGATCCCGAAAACGTCAAACCGGCATTGGAGTCGGGTCTCGTTTTCCCTCTAACGGGATTTACTTCAAAAAAGCCATGATCATGTTGATAATGGATTTCTTCGTATTCCTGCTTCGCCACGGTTGCCGCTTTCCTCCGTGCATTCAAGGTTCTTCAGAGGGAAATAAGCAAACCTGACGGAAATTTTCATGTTAGCGAGAAAGTACGTTTCAAAATGAAGATTCTGGGCTAGAAAACTGGCTTCAATGAGTACTCCATTAAAAAACAACATCCTTATGTGATTGATTAAATATTAATTACTGTGCCTAATTAGGTCTTAATATGCAAGAAATTTTTTGCTTCAGGAGACTAGAGGAAACTTGATTGTCGAGGATGTCCAGAAAACATGAAAAGAATTTAATTTAAAAATAATTAATACAGGAAGAAGCGATGTTCCTCTCACTGATGCGACTAATTATCGCTTTCCGCTGAATCATCTTGGAGAAAGGCAGGCGGCGAGGGTCCTTTTTGCCGCCGTCTCCATAATTACCATATTCAGAGGATTTCCGGTTGCGTCAGGGCGGTTCTTGGCGTTCGAGGAGTTCTAAGATCGGCTGGAAACTCGACGCGTTCATCGTTGTTTTCGTTTCGAAACGCGATAAGATGCCACTCGGCACAGATATCCTCAGATAAGAACCGAAATCCGTGTCGGAAGCAGATGAGATCATGTCGCGATTCGCCGCAGCGATAGACAGACGTACTCGACGAGACGAGAATATTTTGCTCCAACAGCAGATGCCCGCAACGAAGTGAGAAATTCGGCGCATTGCTCCTCAAGTCGATGGCTTCCTGTCATCTGAAGAACGGACAAAAATGCGCCTTTCCAAGGTGTTCTGCGGGCCACTTTCTCCTACTGAAAATCTCCCTGTCCCTGTCCAGCAGAGGCAAAAAAAAAGTGGCTGCTCATCGCCAACTAGTGAGGACGAAAGCGGACTTTTGCGTTCTTTCCTCTCGGCCAGTTTGCAAAGGAAGTCGGGAGAATCCCGCTTTTACTCAGAAAGGGAATAATAAAACAGCGAAATTCAAGCCTTGAAAAGCTCACGTCAGTAGCAGACTGTTCCTCAGTCCCCCCCCCCCCCGTTCCCTCACAATCTATTTCGGCCCCATAAAATGAGATTTCTGTGTGGAAGAGCGACCTTATGGAATATTTCCATGGGTGGAAATGGCGATTGCCTGGGGGAAAAGGCGTCGATTACGCGGTGGAGACGGGGTGAGATGAGAGGGGAATCCGAGTTGGCATACAAATAAAACAATAAAGTTTGAGAGCTTCACTTTTCCTCGTTTTTTCTTGGAAGCATGGAGCCGTAAACCTGGAATAATTATGACCTGGCGATGTCGGCCTTTTTTCAACCTGTAAAAGTTAACAACAAAAATAAAAACATCGCCGTTCTCGAAGATATGAGGAACGTAAAGCGCACTCAAGAAAAAAGTGAAAAACTCATCTTGGATTTTCGCCAAAGCAACCTTCGTGTCTGTGGAACGTTAAAAGCTCAACATTCTCATGGAACGCCAGTCGAGGAATTTTGTCCTTTACTTTCGAAGTTCTTTTTGATCAGGCAAAAGAATGTTTACTTACTGGTAAAATTTATCTCCGAGAGGCAAGCATGGTAATTGAAACACCCACGGGGTAATTAGTTGCATTATCGTGGATGATGAACGTAATGTGAGCCACAGAGCCCCAGGCGCTAGGAACTCAATCGATTTCGGGTGGTTTCCGACATCTACCGTAATTACTTGGAATTAGCAGCCTCGTTGCACGCCGAACAGATGTCGCCTGCATGTTTCCGTCAGCTTCATGAGGTTTCATAAGACGTCTAGACGCCTTATGGGAAACGCTGTACATTTCTGGCGAAAATGTTGCCGTTAAAGGAAGTAGATAGGGGAAAGCCTTGCCTTTCCTGCCATTTCGGTGCTGAGTTAATGAGCTCCTGGCTTTATCCATCGATTTTACGAGCCGATTATCGTGACGCCATTGAATAAGGTGGTGAATGACCTGTACCCAGCCCCTCAGTTGGCTTCGGGACTGGGGCTGCGGAAGGGGGGGGGGGGGGGGGGGGCAGTTACTCCTCCAGAATTTTAAACTGCTCCTCCGAGCGAAAGTGCTGTCCCCATAGGCGGGTGGCGATTCAGTCTCTGCCATATTTTCTGAATACAAAACATCGGTTTTGAACAATGTTTTTCACGTGACAGAAGTGGACAAGGTTTTGAAATTTCTCAGCTGCCACCCAGATTACCAAATTGGAAAATAGGGCTACTCACGGGTTTTTCTGTTGATTCGCTTGCTCTGACTCCAGTGAATTGTTTATACATAATCATATGCAACTTTTTTTTTTTCCTTTTGAACAAGGTGCTGTGGCGAAACGTTATTGTTCGAATATGATATTGTGTTATAGGTTGAAGCTACCCCCAATCAAACTAAGGAATGGGGATGCCTTTACAAGCCTGCGCACGTGAGTAGCAGGTCAACAAAGACGCTAAAAAAGTCGACTTGTGCATGTCATGGTTTGAGTTTTTCCCCCCCCCCCCCGCCTTCCCCTCCTCCCAACTTATGAACAGCCGTCGACGTCGCCCATAACAAGCTGTGGGGTCAATATAGTCATAAGTGAAATCTTAGATTGGTGTCCTTCGGAGGCTCCTATTTTTTTTTAAATATTGTTTATAGTACTTCGAATTTGTTGATAAACACGTTCTCCGTGTTGAAACCGGATCGCTGTGATCTCTTTCATTACGCGACCTACCGGCGAGTCGCGATGCAATGAACGTGCGAGTATGAAAGATGAGGCCTTGTAATTAACTCTGAAAGAGCCCAAAGAATGTATTCGTTTGGCAGCATTTCGGAATCTGGGCGTGTTTTCGCCGTATGAAAGGGAACACCTTATCTCCGAGCACATGGCTGGGGAGACACTCGCGCCTTCGAAGAACAGCTGGCATGACCAACACACCTGCCGCCATTTACCGTAAGGTTCACTATCCCCTGTGCCCATGCAATTTGGGGAGGGTGATCATAGCGGTCTCGCGAGTGACACAGAAGCATAGAGGCGAGTTTCGTTTGCTCGTGTCGGGCTGCGGGACTCAGAGCCGAGTGTCGGCGCCGAGTCCCCCTCCCCTCACTCGCTTCCTTCTAGTATCAATCCAGGCGCTGCTCGGGCAGAGTGGCTTTCGCTTGCATCGGGAAGCTGGAGATCAATATGGCGATGCCCAGTGTCCTCATCTTTGCTCGTTCCTGGTGATTCACCCACTGTTATCGCTGGAAGTCGTGGTACCCTGCATGACCTGCTAATCGTCGTCTACTGTTCTGTGTGGTCTGGCTTGTGGCTCCTCTTGTGCTTCGTGCGAACTTACGAGTGTTTCCCCCTTGTGGATCCATGTGTTTTGAGTTCGAGCTGTGAAAGCGAATAATTTGGCGAATATGTCGTCGTGCTACTTTTTTGCCAGCGGAATGGCAAATCTCATCTTCTTGGCTGTGATGTTTATTCCGTGTTTCGCCCTCTCGGATCCTTGGCTGCGTCCTGCCAAAGGATCAGGTTAGTTGCACAGTCCCATTCATAGGCCTATCGTAGGCTTACCCCAAGTTCGCTGCCCCTAGATTAGCCCATCATGATCAGGCTGAGCTTGCAGGCTTCTTATGCGACATTAATTGCAAATCAGTCGGCTTTAAGCAGTTGTCTAATCTAAGGCAAAAATGATAATAGCATTTTGATAAGATATATTCGTATCTTATCTGGAGCTAAAACTTACCCTTCTAAAAAAAAAACGAGCGCAGACGGATGCCCATATCTGAGTTTGATATGATAGCCTTTCCTCCTGGTACTACAATGCATAGTGGACCAGATTCCAAGTAAATTTGAAAATTAGCTAATTCCGTAGTATTTTCTCCGAAGAGAATTTCGGACATGTGCGGATATATGTGCGAAGAGAGTTTCGGATATATGTGCCTATTGACCCAAACCCTTGAGAAGGGTATATAATACATCCTCGGAGCAGTTGCGGAATAATTGTGGGACTTCAACCTAGATGCATGACGATTTTTGGAAATGGGAACGTTTTCTAATAACCGCTTGAGGGAAGCAGAGCGAGCATCGGAGTTTCAGTAATCGATGGTTCTCCCACCGTCGAAGAAGTAATTAAGGGTGGTCTTACGTAATGAGTTGGTCGTGGGTCACCCCAGCCTTTGTCATCTCGGTCGCCGTCGTTCGTGTGTCAAAGCGACAGTCGCGGCGACCGCAGATGAGGGCTTCTCGGTCGTGCTTTCCCTCCGTTTCTTTCACTTCATAATCGGCGAGGGAGCTCGTAGCCATGTGCTTGCGATTAGGGTTTGGCTGCCTTCCATCGAGACGAGTACATGTACACATTCAGCTCATTCACTCCATGCTGTCATAATTCAGGGTAGACGTTGTAATGGAGGGAATGGAAGGAGAATGGGACGCAGGAGATGCATGTTTGCACCTTTGGTCGGAGAGGTCGAGAGAAAAAGCTTTGGGATAATGGGACAGACGATGAAGAATGGATCTTCCCGTTATGAGAGTTGGAAAGGAGGGAAATTGGAAGCCATCAAGGAAGATTTGACCTGTTGTGTGAAGAGAAGGTCGCCTGTCAGAAGGTGTATCACGCACTCGCATCAGTCAATGACTCTTCGCCGTAGACCTCTTCACTTGACCCCACTTTTATCCGGAAGCCATAACGTCAAGAATGATTTCGAGTTGACCACGTTTCCGTCTTTCAGACTCCCTCATTATGTATCATCCAGATGGGGATTTCACAGCACGTAGAGCTGAAAAAAGGTACGTGCTCCGGAACTCGGCATGAGAGGAAATAATGGGGCATCTGATAAAAAACTTTTATCTTCCTTTTGCAAGGTCTTCATCCTGAAATAGAAAGGGGAACGGGGAAATATGCCCTTCTCTTCGTCTGCTCCATTGATTCGGTTTCACTGTATTGGAACGGCGTTTGATTCCGCACGTGGACCTGACAATGTCCTAATGACAATTGTAAGGAAGGTGTCATTTGGACTTTACTGTCCGGAACATTTGGTTATGGCCAGCCGAGCATGTACCTCGTATTGAGAAGCCACGCCTTCTTTTTTTTTTATCTTCCTAAATTGTTTTTCACCTTTGACGAGACAAACAGATGCCAGAATGTCTGAAAGGGAAGCACGCCTTGAATGCGATCCAGATTACGTGCCATTTGAGCAATTTTTCCCTCCTTTCCCCGTGAAATGGGTCTTGATGGGAGTCACACACTAATTTCCGTAGGTGAGTCAGCAACACCCAACAGCTACAGAGTATAGCGTGGATGACGTCATTGGACGCCAAGTGACGTCACACGACGCGTTTCTCGTCCGCGGGAGTTGTGTTTACAACATGTGTGCGTGCCTCCCCATGGGGGAGGGGTTAAGTCACACAAAGGGGAAGAGGGGGAGTTTTTAGGGGGTTCCTGCACCCTCCAAGGAAGTCCGACGGAGGATCCTATCCCTCTGTTTCTCATTCTTTCAGGACCGGAAGCGCTTCATTATCAACGGATTTCGTTTACTTCGCCATTCTCCCTCACGCCGTCGCAACACTGTTGAAAGAATCCCCTCTGAAATATTTTTTTCCCCCCCACAAGTTGATGGCGCTGAATCGTGAAGGGTTTCCCCGTCGTCATTTCCATTCCATTCCGTTGGAGTGTCTCGGTCTGGTTTCTTTGGAGTCTCTTGATGAGGGTGATGGGTGGAATTTCGTTCGTGATGACGAAGCAGAGTCGGCGAAGAATGGAATCCGATGCCGTTTTAAGAACTCTTTCGGGTGTGGAAGTGTGACCCGAAATGGAGGAGAAAAGATTGAATGGTCGAGGAAGGAAAATGATATATTGTAATGTGGGCGTTATGCATGCTTGGAAGTGCCGGGTGGGAGGGGATGTCGATGCCTCGGGGCCATGCTGTTCTGTTCCCATGACCTTGATATCCCCCTGTCATTCACACCTGATCCCGGGAAGAGGTCACTCGGGGACGGTTGGGCTTGTTCCTGAAGTCCCTTACTTGAAGTTTGCTCCAAGTCACTTTCGTTCCTTCATTGTCTCCTCAGAATTATGAGGTCAGTTTGAACGGAGGAAAACAATGGCGTCGTGGGCATTGTGTTGAAAATTTCAGGTGGAGAAAGGTCCATGGATGAAATAATGGTACCTTCACCTTTTGAATCTAGAGAACTTGATAATAGGGGGCATGATAAATGGGCGGGAATCTGACTGTCGAAACACGGAATAGAATGGGACTGTATCCTCTTCTCTCTTAATGATATTTCCCCCCTGATATTTGATGACTTTCACATGCTGGTGAATTGAAATGTCCATTCATTCTGCTGAAAGAGAGGGAAAACATGCATAGTTTGCAATGCCTTCCATTGACAGTTGGAGTAAATTTGTAATCATCCTTAAAGTTAAAGATCTTTGTGTTTCTGCTAATCTTCCCTCTCTTCATTTCGATACAGTACCGTTGTTAACACGTGAAAAGAGGAAATAAAGAAATAGCGAGAGAGTCGTGCTTGTAAGAAGCAAAGGCAGAGTTTGTCACGAGCAAACCATGGGAGGTTTCAGCACTCAGGTGCAGGAAAACCGTGTCGAATCCTAGGAATTCCCATGCGTGAAAGAGAAGGGAGAAGGAAGAAAACGCTTTTCTCACGCACCTACACGCCTTATTCAGGTCCCATTCCCCCCTGAACTTTTAACTGCAAATACGGGGGGTGCCAAGCCCAAGTCGGGGGAGAAATGATCCCGCCGGCGGCTTTTGACCTCTGGCTTGGATATCCACTGTGATTAGAGGAGACGGTCAAGGGAAATGGGAGGGAAGGGGACAGAGGTGGGAAATCCCTGGAAACAATGGCCCCGGTTTCACATGGGCTTTCATCGCCCGCCCCCTGTCCTCCTTCATCCGGGCATATCAGAGGCCTTGCCCTTTCCTCTAGCGCAAGGGTCTCGAACCCCCGGCTTGCGGGCCCTGCGTGCCGCATGCAGCCCGCAAACGCGTGTAAAAATGCTCGATGCGGCCCGCGCACCGAAACGAGTTTGAGTCTGAGCACCTCTTTTTTTTTTTTACGTCATCGTAGTTGAGATATAGTTCGACCATCCATAACATTGGCCGGGAACCGATCACCCTTTTATTCACTTGAAAGAACATAATCGATTATGTGCTTATGCAAGAAGAGGAAGGGTTCTTTTGCGTTAAGTCGGAGTGAATGACACAGGTATTGAGTCCACACATAGGGGAGACTGCAAGTTACAGCGGGCATACGGGAAGGAAGTGGGACGTGATTCGGCATGTGGTCACAGAAATCATTTCCCTAGATCTATCCATCACGTCCCACTTGAATTTGTCCCGTAAGACCTGTGGTTGCATTTTGTCGACTAGTTTTTTTTTTTGCACTTTTCACTTAGTATGCACGTGTTTCTGACGAAGCTTGAAGGTATTCCTTTTTCCGTGTTGCACGTGCCTTGGTTTCACCAAAAATGTTTCGGCCTTGAGCAAAAATTCCCACTCTCAGGATTCTCATACGCGGGACTAATGATAGGTTCAGGTCTTGATAGGGTTGTTATGGGCCGATGATATTCAACATCCGCGAACGTGCATGCAGATATCCCACACGTGGGAGTCTGATTTTTTCTTCGATGCCTCCATCTCGTGGAAATTGCGTGTCCTTGATTGTAGACGACAGGTATGTCCTATTATAGGTCGATTTGTCTCTCCCATGTATATCACTACACGAAAGTGTAGAACATTTGAAGAGAGAAAGAGAAGGAAGATGGGAGGGAAAACATGGCCTCCATGAGTTCTGGTTACCATAGCAACCATTTTGGCCGAGATTCATCCTTCCTCTCGCTACTCCTTTCTTTCTCCTCCTCTTCCACGGAGATCGTCTTAAGTTGACCCTCGTTGCCGGATGCGGATGTGTCTGTCTTCGCTTCTGTTTACACCATCCTGGACAGTCGCTGTAAAACTGCCATGTTGGGAGGATTAAATTCCCGAATTGTTCACTGCCACCGGAAATAAGTGCCCTCCAGCCACCTGCCAAAAGGGAAATCAATTCCCCTCTGTTTCCCAGGCCCAGGTGCAGTTTTATTATCTGCATCTGGCTACAGGGGATTCTGGCTTCATCGTGTGTCTATCACATCCTTGTTTCTAACAAAGGTGTCCCACGCACTTCATGACAGTATAGTGATGAGATGTTCCGTAGTAACTGGATTGGGTTTACTCAAGGAAAATACCTTTTCCTCCAGTCAAAAAATAAATAAGTACTTTTTTTACTCGAAAGAGGCAGGACGCGTGTAAAAAAAAAAGCAAAAAAAAAAACAAGCGAATCTTAGTAGAAATAAAAGTAAACAGTGAATACCGATTTGGAGTGAAAGTGGAATTGCATAGAATTGCATAGAATTAGGGACCATAGACAATTTTATACTGGTATGCATGTGATTTTAAGAGTTGCCGCTTGACCATGCTTCACTCCGAGAGGAGCCGGTATGGGATATCCCGCCGCCAGCTAAATCTCAACGAGTGTTGTAATTTCCTTTCGGCAAGAAACCAGACTAATCCAAAATGCACGACTGGACTAGCTCCACACTAATAGGCAAAGATTCTTCAGTCAGATCCACGTGGATTTATGTCTGGTTTCATCGCTTGGCATAGCAAGAAAGGTTCCTCTAACATTTATTAAACCCCCTATGGGTGATTTGCGTTCGTGAATAATTTCCAATAGGTACCCTAGGGATAGGATGTGAAGAGCGTATGCGGCAGTGGTAATGGAACCTTACAGCAACGACGCCGCGTTTCTTAACGGAGAAAGTGGATGTGAAACAGCGTCACGGATTGCCTTGGGAAGAAAACTGTCAAGAGAGCTGTCCAGGGTCATTCATATCTAGATGCAAGCGAAGGGCCATCTTTTTCATGAATCTATATCTGGGAACTCCCATGGGCCATTAGGAAGAATAGAATGAATAGAGATTTCACAGAGGAGGTTTTTCTCACATGGTCGCTCAGACGAGATAAGGGACTTTTTTTTTCCTCTCGCAAACCCTTCTTTCTGGAGTTTCTTCCCATCATTCATTCACTGATGCTCTCTCGGCCATGTCCAATTTATTCTGCATTCACCTGGTCTTATGAGGCGAGAACTTCCCCGGTGCCGGCCATCGATGCATGTCCCGTGCCTCATCAGTGCTTATGAGTCAGAGACTTTTGCGATGACCTTCGATTTCCATCGTTCGAAGAAAAGAGGACGGCTTCCGTCAAAAGAGTGAAAGAGAGTGAAAGAAGACCTCTGTTATCAGGCCTCACACATGGGCCGCACATGCATTGTGAGCGTGATAATTACGATGTATTTTGCAGCCGCGATTCCCGCGCCGACTCGGGTCAACGTTTCTATCCTTTCATTTTTTTTGTCTTCGTTATCTCATTGGACTGTTTCCGCGTTATCTCACCGATGGGATTGTTCCAACGAGCTCTTCTCGTTTTCACTTTCACCCAGCTTTTCTTGTGACAGCCGTATTGAAAGAACCGTTCCAATTAAGAACAGAGTAGGGGTCACGTCCCCTGACCCACGAAACACCATTAGGACTATACACATTTGAGGACCATGGAGAGGAGAAGACACTTTGGAGCGAAACGACGTCGTTCCGGTTTCGACACCCTTCCCTGGCCTCGATCTCTTACTTCACAATGGGGCAGGAAGCACTTTACAAATCACCTGGATAATGATCCTATCCCTAATGTCACTGCATCTCGAGAAATATTAGCGTATCGTTTATTCGAGTCTGGCTCGGGTTCACGCAAAGGCCGTGCAATAGCAGTGAATGAAAACTTCATCTCATATGTCAAATTCTATTAATGAATTGACTTATGTCTTTCTTTTGCATAAATCCAAAGGTGGGGGAGAAGATGATTCCCTCTCTGGTCCCTTCTTCGTCCGGGAGCCCCCAAGCCGAGTGGATTTCTCCAACACGACTGGCGCTGTGGTGGAATGTGCTGCGAGGGCATATCCCGGCCCTGAAGTCGTCTGGGTTCGACTCGATGGATCGTCCGTCAGGGATGTCCCCGGTTTACGACAGGTCAGACACGAACATCTATTTTTCAACTCGCTACCGTCAATGAGTTATAAACAGACAACTGCCTGTCGTCTTTACATGTTCATGGTATGTATTATATGCCGTTCCGACTTGATTCTGAATTCATTGTCTGAATTTTCTTTTCCAGTTGAAAGGGGTTAGAATCGAGTCGAAATTATGTATTTTTTTCATGGCAGAAATGCAATTAGAATCCAAGCAGAGTTATCCTCCTGTAGCGAAGTACCGATAAGGTTGTTGTGGCGTGTCAGAAACGGAATGCTGATGAAGATCAACATGCGCAGTGCAGCCTAACGAAAGTACGATGGTATCTTGAAAAGTAACTTCTGCTTTACTTAATATGATTGGTTACCTTTGTAATGATGACTCTCGTTTGAATCAAATTCTCCTTCAATAGTAGACAGACTGGGTATGCACGAAACTTGCAAGCGACTCCTTTACATTAGTTGGTTCCCCGGGGAGAGTCAAGGGTAACCGTATTTGTAAACTCCGAAGGCTGGGCTCACTCAAAAGAAACTGGGAAGGCGACAGCATGAAGAGTACCCCAATGCCATTCGAACGAGAACAAAATGCTAATGGAGGTGAAGGAAAGAGTATTACTGCCACTGTGCTATCTGTGAACGTTCTCACGATTGCTTGTCTCGTACATTTCGAACTACTTAAACACGATGAATGGCTGTGTCAGTACCCAACAGCTCCTAATTCAGCATATTTACAGTCCCTGCAAAGTTTCCCGCTAAATCTGAGCCCATTTATACGCAATGTAAAATGTACATATAGGTTAGAACTAATGGTGGTATTCAGAAATGGGATGTTTAAAAAAACTTTCAGGAGAAATTAAAAGTTTTTAGTGCATACCTGAGCTATTGAGATTAAAAAATCTATTTGTTATGTTATCACGAGATCTCATACACCTGCACTTTTCTGCTCGTATTGCTATCCCCCCACCCCCCTTCTGCATCCATCCTTCAATCTTTGATCCTTCTCTTCTTATTTCTCAGTATTTATGTTTGTTTCTCGGCGTCATTCTGGTTACTTTTTTCCGATGACTGATCTTTGGATTTGCCTGATCAATTAAATATGCTCCAAAAAGGTTTCTAGAACTGCTCAGTGCTTTCAAAAAAAAAGAAAAGAAACGTGCGTCAGTGATCAATCCCTTATCTCACTGTGAGTGTTTCTGTGTGTTGATGAAGCTGCAGTCTGCGAAGAAAAAAATTAAAGACGTATTTGAGGGCCTCAGATCACAATCCAGAAAAAAGAAAATGTATTTAAGTGCATGCCAGAGATACCACTGAAAAAGGACTAGCACGTAATTCATATGCCAAATACCAATTTTTGTATCTTTTATATTTCTAGGTACTTAATACCAGTATTGCTAATTGCTCAATATCTGCTCGCTCCTCTGCGAATGAACTCAAGTTGGTCTCTATGATGAAAAAACGTGAAGGCTCTTTTTGCATAATAAAGGCCCGGTAAAGACGAGAAACGAATAAACGTTCTGGGGACGTGCCTACTGTTAGGCTAGGAGCATGTGTCATTTGAAAGGGCAACACGAGGGTGTAAAAAAAAATCTCAAGAATATATGAAAATGTGGAAAACCATTTCCAAGGTTTTCCATTGTCCAGACCCTCGTCGAAAGCGGTGAAAGTGACAGCATGATCCCTATTCACGAGAAGTTTATCGTGGAGTATGAATGACTGATCCTAATTAAGGCCTCAGGAGGTGCGTTTGTTTTTGCGATCTGAGGAAGGGGATGAAAAATGAGGCCTGGTGAAAGGATAGACGCTGCCGAGATATCTTGTTAGGATCTCAGATGGGTTAGCATATTCTGAGACCCTCAGAGAGGAATTGTATTTGGCGCCGCAGTGGTAGTGCTACAAAAGTTCCTAACAATAAGTTTGCTTCCTGTATCGTCATAAACTTCGTCACTATATCCCCTCTCTAATAACCCTTTCAAAAGTAAATCATGGCTCTTAAAAGCTAATGTAGATGAATGTCCGGCTTAAATTGCTCAGATTTCAAGCATAGGAACAAGGCACGGTTGAGTTGGAATTTTCCCACGATGATCCGGCTCCGTTGAGACAAAGGACAGGATGAAAGTGGGGAGGGACAGATGGAGGTTAATTGTAGGGAACATGCCATGTGGGTGACATATGCTGTCATTTTTTGTCGTACGAGTGTATTGTCTTTCAGTCGTAGCCCGTACTGCATCCAGCAGCCTGGTACGTCGCGGAACCTTGGAATCTGTGAAAGTACAGACGTGGGCTGTTATATACGCGTAGTCCCTCCAGTTAACGGCCACACGCGGCGAGCCGTGATTGATGGCTTCTTCATGCTCTTGGTTCTCATCTTTCCCACTTCCTCCTTCAAACAAGATTATCGTCGAGGTTGGGTCCAGGAATAGCATGGGTCACTTTAGATGTGGCTGAAAATCGGAAGAACTACCGGAGAGCGAAGGAACGGCAGATTATAAAATGAAATTAGAGCAATCAAATTTATTGCATCTTTTCCCCACCCTCAGGTGCTGCCGAATGGAACGCTCATCTTTCCACCGTTTCGATCGGAAGATTACAAGCAGGAAGTGCACGCTCAAGTCTACCGTTGCTTGGCTCGCAATCAAATCGGCACCATTCAATCCCGAGACGTTCACGTTCGAGCTGGTACGCCGCTGTCTTTCTGTCAAGAATAAATTTAAGTTATAATATAATATTAGGATTAAATTAGTCTTGCTGCAATCGCTATGAACGTCTCCCTTGCATCAGATTGTCGAGAAATATTTGCAGTCAACTCAAATTGTTCAAAGGTGGAAAAAATATTGTTAAAAAAAATCGGTAGATGAGAAGTGGATTCATAATCTGTAATGTCCATCCTCTGAGAATGATCTCGTGACTGTTGGTCCACATTAATACGGCCTTCATTGGGTGTCTGAACCTCTTCTTGCTCGACTTCATTAGTGCTTTCATATCAGTCATGTCAGAAATGAAAGCCGAATGCAACGGGAGACAGTAGATTGGATGATCTTTCGAGACCTGCCAAAGCCTGATTTCCACGAATGAATCGAGGGTTATCAGTTCTCTATTTTTCATGTTATGTCGGGAAGAATATGGATTTTAATTCCAAGGAAAAAAATTGCCATCGTGAGTGCCCTTGGGAAATCTTTGTTATTGAGAGGGCTTGCTCTCATCTTGGGGACGAAAACGTTATTCTTTTCAAGGATTTGCCTCCCCCTTATATTATGTCTTCTAAAATCATATGAGTTTCAGCGTGGAAAGTAGACCGCGATGGGTACCAATTGACTAGTTGAATTGGCTTACTTTCACTTAAATGCCAGTTAAAACTATTCTTATCATGTCAGTTGCTCAGTAGTAGTTCTCGTACTACAAGGGGGCGAGTAGGTTTCATTTAAAGTCGTAAGAGGTTAAATCAGAAGCATCTTTTTTTAAATTATTATTACAGGGTTTGCTGTTCAAAAGTATTTTTTTCGTTTACGAAACCGTGGGAAGTCCCGCGACGAAAGTTTCAAGGTCAAATATGGGCCTTGAGAGTTTTGTTCGAAAGTGCTCAATGGCAAAGCCATAGCAATTGTTAAGGCAAAAATGACGAGCTGTCCTCACAAATGGGACGAGTGACTGAAGTGGATGAGTGAGTGAAGTGGATGATCGCCTGCCTAGCGAGTCCCACCCTGCTGCCTCTAGTCTCTGATGGGGTACGATCCCCTCCCCCTCGCCGGGAAACGCAGCGCGGGATGATACCACGTCATGAAGAGAATATTCTATCTTGGGATTTTTCCCCCCCATTGTAGTTTCCTCTAGGAGTTATTGGCCAACAGAAATTATTTCCCAGATATTTGTTACCTTATCAAAAGCACGCTTCTGGCAAAAAATAGTGGCATTCTTCTGTGATATGGCTCCGGAGCCGCAACGTGTGAATATCACTTCACTCATTTTGAGAAGAGAGCCAGATTGCTCTTCCTTGACAGACTATTTAAAAAAAAAAGAATAAAAACTAGGTGAGTGATTTAGCTTTAGTTAGACCATTAAATTACAGATGGTTTATACCGGTAGAAACAAGTAGACTAGGATTTGCAACTTATTTGCTGCAGTGGATAGTTAGTTAACTAAGTAACTGGTACCAAATTTCGTTACGGCCATCACTGAAAGATAATCAAAGGAGTCATCAAGGTGTGAAGTGAGGGGAAGGACAATTATGCAATCGCAGTCTTCACTAATCTCGTCACTGACAAAAACGTACCGATGGCGTGAATCCGGCGGCATGAGAAGAATGGCATTTGCGGTTTGCTCGAGTGACCTCGGCACGTTTTTCTGGTCTCCGAAGTTCGCGGTCGGTGTGCGTCGCTCAAGGAAGTTTTCGACGGCTACTTCGTAATGCAGCATTTAGTTCAAGTGAAAGAAGTGGTTTTTGTATGACAAGACGGAAAGGAGTGTAGAGAGAGCGAGAAAAATGCGCGAACATTTTTTCGCTCGACTTCCGTCTGTCTCTTCATGATAACGGACCAGCTATTTCCTGGTGATTACTGAAAATTATATACTTCCTAATATTCGTCTCGTGCGCAGTTCGTTTCTGTTACTGTTCGCATACTCATTTAAATCGATAAGCCCAAGTCAACTTAGAGATTGCAGCAGGACCCTAGATCTAGTTCTAAATCATAGTCCATAGGCTCGTGTTACATTAGGATAAATGGCGAGCAATTACGAGACTGCAATTAGAGTGAGAATCCAGCGTAAAATCAGCTTATGAAAACAAAGGAGCGGCAGTCCAGCAGTGATCTGTCATGCATTGCAGTTCCAGATTTTTTTTCGGCTTGAAAGAATCCTCGGGGAAAGAGATAAAGAATTCACGGGGGAGCGAGAGAGCGGGGAGGACTCGATCGTTCACTCATTAGCTCTAGTATGGATCATGGAGAAGCCTCAATCCATTATTATGTGCTCTGGGAAATGGTCCAAAGCCCCCTCTCGGACTAGGACGGCCGGAAATGATTATTGGAAGTTGAGCTGAAGAGGAGAATGACCTTGCAAGAAGAACTCGACCTCGACTCTCTGCACAGATGATGGATTTGTTTAATTATCTATGCTTCGGTGCCTGACAGGGCAGCACGTCTCCGCATGATAGACCTTCACAAAGAGTCTTGGCAATCAGCCTTACCCTAAAAAATTTTCCTGGGTCTGAGAAATATCAGCACACCTTGACAAGCAGTTATCTAGATCATTTGCAGAGAACTATCTTAGTGCTTTGACCTCAGAGTAACTTTTTTTTAAATATAAAAAGTGAAGATAATCCGAATATTACGTTGGAGGGTTTGACCAAGAGAGCAACTATTGCAAAGTTGCTACGAAACCGGATGGGAGCTGTCAGCTCCGTCTAAGTTAGTTCGTGTAAGCTAAGATTTTACAAATTGTTATTGCTATTCCATGCGTAGTGGTAAGTCAGCCGTATTCAGCGCACGTGTCGCCCGAGGAGTTCGTGATCCGAGGAAATACAGTCCTCCTCAAGTGCCACGTTCCCTCCTATCTCTCCGACTTCCTTCTCGTTACCAGCTGGCTTCTCGACGACTCCGTCGATATCTACCCCGAGAATCGCAACTATGGTAATGATGTGTCAGAGACACGCAGGGCAGCAATTGGATTGACTCTCACCAAGGATTCTATCCCTCGTGTAGGAGCAGCGACTGATGATCTCTTTCAGGGGACCCTCCACGACGGTTTTTTCCCCCCCTAGGTCATAGGTCAGGACCCAGAATGCCGACATGCTTTCCGTTTTTGCAGTTGTGGGGCAGCAGTATTCCACTGACGTGAATAAAGAGCATGTGATACTGGGGAATTCGGCTCTTCTCAAGTGCGTCGTCCCCAGTTTTGTGGCTGATTTTGTGAGCGTCCTGGCCTGGGAGGACGACAAGGGCACTAAGATCTATCCCTCCGATTCCTATGGTACGAGCCCCACGGGTGAAAAACATTCCAACTCTGCATGATGGAGCTCGCTAACAGAAACTCCTTCCCTAGGACTTCCATCCTTCAACTAGGTTTTCTTCCGTCGACCGTTCTTCAACGTTGAATTCCCTGCGAATCGGCAAAAGCGTCGTCTGTAAATCCGTCCGTCACAAGTGCACTGGTTTTTTCTTCTGGATTTTCTCTTCGACAGTCGTGAGTCAGAATTACGTGACAGAGGTGAATAACGAGCATGTGATGTTGGGGAACGCAGCCGTCGTGAAATGCGTCATCCCGAGTTTTGTGACCGATTTCGTGGATGTGATGGCATGGGAGGACTCCGACGGGAATAAGCTCTATCCATCACAGCCTCATGGTATGAATGAAATGCATCCGTGGAATGAATGGTCGCGTCGTCTGCCTGGGTCTGGCATTAATTGGCATGATGGCATTTTAAAGACACAATAATGCTCCTGTCTCCGTCGCAGGTCATCTAGGTCATCTTGGTCATCAAAGTTCGTCTTCTTCGACTTTTCGTTCAAATTAGGGGCTTTCTTTTTCACGTAGACTGATTTTTCCATACAGTGGTACACCAGGACTACCAAACCAGCGTTCCAGAAGAATATGTGATAGTTGGAAATTCTGCTCTGCTGAAATGCAGTATCCCTGCCTTCATCGCGGACTTCGTATCGGTGACTTCGTGGGAAGTGTCGAGTTCCAACGGGAGACAAACCATCCACCCCTCAACCTCTCCCTTAGAATACGGTAATAATTAAGTCTGAGACCCAACCCTCCCGTTTTCAGTCGTGATCCAGTTCTACGAACCAGAAGTCCTCGGCACGGAGTATGTGATTCGTGGCAACACGGCTCTCCTCAAATGTACCATTCCTTCCTTTGTGGCCGATTTCGTCGACGTGGACGCCTGGCTTTCCGATTCCGGCGATATCTATCGCTCCTTCACAGAGAACCTGCATGGTAATACTGGCGCTGCCGAACTCGGACCTATCAGTACTAATCCGCCTTCCTCCCCCCGATTACTTGCAGTGGTATCTCAGCCTTTCGAAGTGGAAGCGGACAACGAATACGTCATGCGGGGCAATGACGCACTTCTCAAATGCGAGATCCCGTCGTTTGTAGGGGAATTTGTAGAAGTGAGAGCCTGGGAAGACTCGGATGGAAGGAATTTTTATCCCGGATCGAGCTCTGGTAAAAATGACCGAATTTCTCCCATTTCAGTGGTACTTCAGTCCTACGAGACAGAGCCGGAAAACGAATTTGTGATTCGTGGCAACACGGTTGTGCTGAAATGCAAAATTCCTTCACACATGGCCGATATCCTCCAAGTTTCCAGCTGGGAGGATTCGGATGGTCTTGTCTATTCCTCCAACGCCCCCTCCCATGGTAATTGCTCCATTCATCCCAGGCTTCCTTCCCCACTGATGGAAGTTTCCCTTGCAGTGGTGGCACAGGATTATCTGACTCGAGTCATCGATGAGATGGTTCTCCGTGGGAACACCGCCAGTCTCAAATGCCTCATCCCTAGTTTCATCGGAGACTTCATAGTTGTTACTTCGTGGGAGGACTCTGAGGGTCACCTGTACTCCTTCGGGGGGACCTACGGTACTGTGATCTCATCTCCAGAGTCATATCGCTCTCCCTGGTTTGCTTTTCAGTGGTGAGCCAACCCTATGAGACGAGGGTCAGCGACGAATTCGTGCTCCAAGGCAACACAGCTACACTGAAATGCATCATCCCTAGCTTTGTTGGGGATTTGGTCGTCGTGACTTCCTGGCAGGCCGATGACGGCACTGACGTCTATACTCAAGCTGGCTCTTATGGTAGGCATCCGTGGTTTCTCTTGCAGTGGTGTTTCAGCATTACGAGGCACAGGTCTACGATGCCTACGCCATCCTTGGGAATACCGTCATCCTCAAATGTCAGATCCCTCCCTTCGTCTCAGATTGGCTTCAGGTGTTGTCTTGGGAGGATTCCAATGGTCATCTCATTCATCATGGTAGCATCTTACAGTCTCAAGCTCCTGTTGTGAGAAACCCCTCTGGGGCGAGAAAGGGGGTTTCCCAGGTAGTCTTGCTTCATGGGAGAAGCTTAACTTGCTAATGAGTTTATTGGCACAGCAATAGAAGTAATTGTGAAAATGAGGATGTAATGAGGCGACCCAGGCGTGATCTATGCTTTGATGCACTATAAGGAGGTGGCAAAGGGCAACTGCCTTGGTTCCCACCTTTGGAGAAAAGAAATGCCCTTAGGCAGCTATGAAAGCCACTGTCAGACCTTGGAATATTAATTTTCCCATTGAAGCAAGACATCTTGGTTACCATCTGACCTCCTTGTTTTCCTATCAGATCCAGATATCTTGAGCTCAGGGTTCCTTTTCTTCTAGGTCCTTTATTACTTTTGCAGATGCTGATCTTTTATTACTTTTGCAGATGGTCTGCCACCTATCATCCATGAATGGTTCTCATCTTTCAGGATAATTTCTTTCACATGAAGATTTTATCCATTGCATGCTTTAGACAGATCCAAGGTTGAACATTTCCAAAACCACAGCAGAACAATAGTGGTAGGACTTGCCTCTCAATTGTAGTTGTTTCACATTGATTAGTTTCAGCTTTTCAGTGTCTGAGAATTTATTAAAATCTAGCTTCTGGTTTTGAAAACAACAGCCCTGGATCTGTGCAATGATACTGGTGCATTCATTGAGGGCTTTCTTGTGTTCATGGAATGGTGAAAGATCTAGGTCAGATTGGCTGATGGGAAATTCCAACTTTCACAGCTCATTTCAATAGGAAAATGATGCAGACAGAATTCTAGTGTTTACATTGCAAAATTGGACCTAATGTCATTCCATCGAATCAGTCAATATGGAAGTTGGGCTGTACATAGTATTTACCTCATCGTTCCATGAACCTGGAAAGCAAGGTCATGCCTGTCCAGTGTCCTGAGGATTATGCTTTATAGCAAAACTCAGGACCTGAGACAATTTGTGCTTTCATTTGAGATACTGAATTGGATCTTTGAGGTGGAGCCGTGCATTGATTGCCATGAATCACAAACTGCTCAAGAAGTCATCTTGAAATGGAGAGAATTCTAAACAAACCCACTGAAATATTTATACATTCAAAAAGCCCATCATTATGCTTTTTTAGTGGTTTTCATTTTCTTGTCTCCTGATCTCCTTGTGCCTCAATTGATGACTTCTTGATGCTTTGGGCTGTCCATGGGTATGATGATTGTAATAATTCTATGCAGGCATTTGAGCTAATGAGGCTCCCCCACTGATATCTGGGCCAGTGTCACTTTTATATTGAAACTTCCTTGCATTGTAGCTAATAGTCTGACAACACTTTCATTGCATAAATCCTTCCATTCAAAAATGCTTCCAATCGAGTTTCCCATCAAGTGCTCCTGTCTGTGCCTTCCATTAAAAAATTAGAGCAGAGATTTGAGGAAATAACATCAGTAACATAATACTTCCAACTTTTAAAGATATATATGTCAATATTTAAAGCCTGAATGAAGTTAGTTCAAATGATGTCTTTTGGTGACTTTTTTAAACTATTTTTTTTTTTACTTTCCCATGGACAGCCCAGAAAAGGATGGATTTTGATGATGGACTTATAGGAGTTTTTCCCATTGCCAGAGTTCCATGGATAACCCAGAATGAAAATGCACAAATTAAGTTTCTAAGTTTAATGCTATATTTGTAAGATCACAGAAACTATTTTTAGAAGCCTATAATGTTGCCAAGTAAGCTTCCCAAATAATTTTATATGTCTTTGTTCATCATTCTTTCTTGTAACTATCTTTCATGATCAAATGGGAAAAACTCCAGCTGCTTTTTTTTGATTGATGCTGAATTTCATTTTCAATTCATGTTTAGATTTGCTCTCTTCTGTCAAATGTAATGCAAGTATTTTGCCTCCCTTTTTAAGGTTGAAGGGAAAGAAATCAAAGTAAAATCTTAATATGCTTCAAACAACTTGACAAAATTTTCATGTCCATAGATGACAGAAGTAGAGGAAATCATTTGTTGTAACTGCAGTGAATTGAAACATCTCTGGCTAGACCTAACTGACTTTTCTTTATGTCCGTGGTTACCAGATGGGAAATATCTGGTGTTACCATCTGGAGAACTCCAGATCCGAGATGTGGGTCCTGAGGATGGTTACAAGAGTTACAAATGCCGTACTGTCCATCGCCTGACAGGTGAAACCCGCCTCTCAGCAACTGCTGGGAAACTTGTCATCACTGGTATGTATCACATCATACTGCTTTCCTTACCATATGAGTTAATCTTAGTGGAGTAGTAAAAAAGACCATTGAGATCTAACTGGGATCAAAATTCTGCATTGAAATAAAATACTGATCATAGAATAGTTCATGAAATAATATTAATAAACATTGAATCATGTGTTTTTAATTTTAATTCTTGAAATTCGTGTAATTGCTTTTGCAAAAAAAATAAAATCAGTCATGATTGCTCAAATTTTATCCTGTCATTGAGTAAATTCACAAATTTATAACAGAAACTGTTATTTCATGTGTGATGAATGTGCCTATGCATGAGGGAGCAGATTCCTATTCCTATCCAAATGGAATGATGGATGAAGACCAAAAGTCACACATGGGAAATTCATTACCTCTGTTGAAAGTATGCATTCTGATGAGGTGTATGGACTTGCTTGGTTTATACTTATGCTTGTGTTCAGATGACTTCCAGACTGTAATCTCCTATTGTCTACATGAACCTACAAAGAGCTTTGCAATGGAGTTAATAAAGACTTTAGAGATGCCAATTGTGATGAACATAATTCACATCAATCAATATATGTGATTCCATGTTGTTGCACAATACGCAGTATTTCCTGGCTGCCTGTTTCATATATATTTTTAATGATGTTACCCTCATGGATAGGCAGATGAACCATGAGGGCATGGAGGAGGACATAGGCCTGATGCAAAATTATGACAATTTCTTATGAGAATGATTATTTCTGACTGTGTTTTTGAAAGTTGCATTGTAAACTTCCTCCTCCATGCCCTCCTTGATTGCATTTATTGTTGTTGGAACCTGGATGTTGGGATAGGGTACCCCTGTGGCCTGCCTCTCCTCCTGCCCACTTCCTTGGCAATCACTTCTTCAAAATTCTTCCCATGATATTTTAGAATCTGTCAAAACAGTGCACTTAATTGATATCAGCATTCCTTGCGTGCAAAATTGTCAGAATTCACAAAAACACGGTTTCAGAGCCTCGAGCCACACTAGCACCCCATGCAAAAGAGAAAGCTACCAGGCATCGAGATTTCACTGAGGGTCAGTCAGCACAGTTGGACTGCCAACTTCAGGCATTCCCTGTACCACATTGCAGGTGAGTCTACTAGGAATCCCTTTTTGAGCATGAGCTTCATTTCCTCCAAGTATTGGTTGAGGGTCAGGAAGGGGGCCCCATCCCAGCACATCAGGTAAGTCTGCTTGAATCCTCTGGAAAATCTGCTGAACACATCATCTGACATCACTGTAGAGCCAAGAGCTGGAGTGAGTCCAAAGGCAAAAGATTCATCCTCAATGGGTTCAAAAATTATATCTTCAAGTCAGGAGATTATAACTCTTCCCTGCAGAGTCCAGGCTCACCCTATCCCAACATTCAGGTAAAATCTTACTTTTGTGCAAGAGCATGTTCAATATTAGCTTTTTCTCATAATGAACAGAACCAAGAGGGAAATTGAAACCAACACTGCGGGATAGTGATGTGGGAAGTATGAGAAAGGAGGTATCTTTCGGTCAGGAGATGGGTCTCCCTTGCCCTATTCAGGCGTACCCTATCCCAGCCACAAGGTGAATCTAAGCTTTTCCATTTTGAACTCTCCTTGTTCATTTTCCTGAAATGTCAGAACCACGTGGGAACCTTCAGCCAACATTGAAGGACAGCAAGGTTGGCAGTATACGGGAAGAAATTCCTAGTGGTGGGGCTGGTACACTACCTTGTCCAATTCAAGCATTTCCTCTCCCAACAACCAGGTACTACCATTTTAACTTCAGATACATATCAGACTCTATTAATTTTAATCATGCCAGAACCACGTGGGAATGTGCATCCAAGACCACATGAGGCAAAGTCCCTCTTAGTTGGAGAGAAAGCAAGTATAGGAGAAATAGCATCCTTGCATTGTGCAGTGCAGGCTTACCCAATCCCAAAATTCAGGTCAGTTGTGGAGAAAATCAATTCTACATACTCATCTCATTGCCTGACCAGAACCAAGGGGAAATTTAGGCCCAAAGCCCAAGGACAGTATGGCATTGGTCTCTGGAGTGAGATCCATGGAGGGAAGAGCCACAGCAATACCCTGTTCAGTCCAGGCTTTTCCAGTGCCTGCTTTTAGGTAAACATCTTTCCTTATATTTCCTCCTGGATTTAGAACCTAGAGGGAAATTGAAACCTCGACCAAAAGATACAGAATCCCTGCTTGGGGGGAGGAGAGGAAGTGAAAGCCAAGTATTGGCTCTCACATGCAGTGTCCAGGGTGTTCCTGTGCCTGACTTCAGGTAATCTCTCTGGGTACTCTTGTGCTAGTCATTCTTTTCATCAATCAGAACCACGAGTGAATGTGATGCCAAGACAGAAGCATATTGAATCAGCTCTCACTCGAAGAGTTGCAGACCAGGATGACAGTGTGGACCTCTCTTGCAATGTCCAGGCATCTCCTCTCCCAACATTCAGGTCTTGCAAACTGCTATACTTCTCATAGGAACCTATCTCTCTCTTTTGGTTCTGTAGACCCCCTTGGTGAAGTTTCACCTCGTGCCAAAGAAGCAGGATATACTAGTGCCAAAAAGGAAGTCATGATAGGAGAGGCAATTGAGCTGACTTGTATTGTTCAGTCTTCACCTCTCCCAGCATTCAGGTTCAGTGTATCCTATGATTCTAGGTACCAATTTTAACTCTTTCCATTTTGGCAATTTATATTGTAGAACCTCTGGGAGAGGTTGCTCCTCGCTCAAAGCATGCAGACTTCACTGGTGCTAAGCGAATGTCTCCAGAATTTGAGATGATAGCCCTTGCCTGCAATGTTCAGGCATTCCCAAAGCCATTATTAAGGTTAGACATTTGCATTATCATCTTTCCATGGCAGTCCACAGGGGAATAGGTCTCTTTCCTCTCAATACATAAGGGTTCCAACAGCACAGGTATGTTCATGGGGACATTCATTTAAGCTATTTTTTCCTCCTCCCAGAGCCTCATTCTAACCTGGCTCCCAAAAACAGAGATCCTAAGGTTACTGGATTGGAAGAGACTGTCTCTAAGGCCCAGATAGCAGCCATTCCATGCAATGTGCAGGCATATCCATTCCCAACATTCAGGTGAATCTTTCAACCACTTTTTATGATAATGGCTCTGATTATCGAAAACAGAACCACGTTCAGATTTGGCTCCACGGCTTGCGGATTCTCGCTTCCGAAGTGCCAGTCAAGTGGAGGTTTTTGGAGAAACTGCTGCCATTCCATGTCATGTCCAGGCATATCCTATCCCAACATTCAGGTATCAGTTCTGTAAGAGTTCATGAAGTTGCATGACAGGAGAAAACTGGTGATTCTAATTAGAACCAAGAGCCAATGTGGGTCCAAAGACTAAAGATGCTGAAGTCCGGAGTTTGGGCAGGATTACCCATGTAGATTCTTCAGTTGCACTATCATGCAATGCCCAGGCCTCTCCTATCCCAACATTCAGGTAGGCTTTAAGTCTGGTTCGGTATGCCTCCTATTAGAAATTCTACCTTTGACTGTAGAACCTCGGGGCCTGGTATCACCTGGCCTCCATAATGCAGACACCAAGACTTTTGTGCAGAAGAAAGTCTCCTCTTCTGATCAAGTTGCTTTAATGTGTGATCTCCAAGCATTCCCACCACCTGAAATCAAGTAGGTTTGTTGTTTGTTGTTAGCCACACTGGTATTAAGCTGCCAATTAAAAAAACTAGAAGGAAGGGAGAGGAGAGGAGCAGCACCAGGGGAATCCTCCTTCTCATCTTGGTATCAGGATCTTCATTAGTTTTTCTGTAACAGAACCTCGAAGCCAAGTTGCTCCCAGGGCTCCTCACAAACAATTTGCTGACTCTCTGACCAGCAGGGCTGAAGAGCTCTCAGTAGCATCACTCTTGTGCCAATCGCCTGCTTTTCCAATTCCAAGTCATAAGTAAGTTATATATGAATTTCCCATGAATTTTAGTTATCAGCTACAGGTTGGAATTTTTTCCTACAACCCATGCACTTTCAGGCTGTACCAGGTGAGTGGGCAAAGGAGTGGCACCACTTGGGTCTCGACAAGAATAAATTATTGTATGCTTGAATCGATCTTGAATTCCCCTTCGTGCAGAACCCAGATCTACTGTAGCCCCAAGGTATGCAGGGATAAAGATTGATCAGCTGGGTGCAGTGATTCACATTGCTGAAAGAGGTGATGCCTTTCTTACATGTGGAGCCCCTGCCTTCCCACCACCTTTGTTCAGGTCTGTCAAAGCTTGCACAAATTTCCATAATGCTGAAATTAGTAGCATCATATGTCCTTGGAAGAAACAGAGGAAGGCGGCCTTGGGTTCCCTTTAGTTGATGATTAGCCAAGACTCAAAAAACATTGAAATTTCCGACAGAACCTAGGAGTCAGGTGGCTCCCAGAGCAGCATTCAAGCAGTACACGAAGTCTCTTGATGTATCAAATGAACTAGGATCTGCCATGGCATTGCTGTGCCAAGTTCCAGCCTTTCCTATTCCACATTACAGGTATGTTTATAGGCACTTTTGCTAGACCAATCTTCTCTCTGGTCATATTGGTAGCACTGGTAACATGGCGATAGGTGTTCTGGATGGCTCATTAGGATGAGAGGAAGGCCAAGGGGTATATTCCAACTATTCCTATTCAGCACTTGAAAGAGTTCAATTTGATTTATTTTAGAACCAAGGTCAACTGTAGCTCCGAAGTATGCAGGAGAGAGGTTTGATGGTAGCAAGCTCGTCATTATAGCAGAAGACAGCACTGCTGATTTACAATGTGCAGCACCTGGATTTCCTACTCCTTCTTTCAGGCAAGAATATTCTTTAGATGTAGATGGAGGCTTGAATAAGCGAAGAATACCCAGTCACTGTAGAAATTTCCATTATTTAATCATTCTCATGGGTTCATTGATACCAAACTGAACTTTCAACAAAGAATTTTTTGACCCACAGATACTTCTTTCATACATAATCCTGTCCTGGTAGGTATTTTAATACTGAGTTCCCTGGGAAGAATTTTGATGAAGAATTTTTATTCATCAAAATAAGTAGGACTTTCCATATTCCTGGAAAGTTGTTCTCAGATCCAGGCAAAGTGGGTGTCTCAGGCCACAGGGTTATTCTAATTGGAAATTTTGAACTCAATTCCATTTAAAATTCTGTAAATTATGCACATAGAGCCAAGGTCAACAGTGATGCCAAAGTACTCAGGAAAGAAGTTTGAAGGTGGGGAATTACTCACAGTTGATGAGAATGTTGCTGCTCACCTCCAGTGTGAAGCACCAGGATTCCCTCCACCACTTTTCAGGCAAGATGAATTGTCTTATCAGTTCACTATACTGTCTCCTCTAAAAGGTATAAGCATATTAAATACTAATGCTTAAAGTCATAGATCAGTGTGAGACTTTCCCCACATGGAGAGGAGTGGCATTCTCTTGCTACTGACTAGGTAAGTGAAGACCCCTTCAGGTATCAACCTGGATTCTTCGAAATCAGGTGTCAGTTTTCTATAGAGATTTTAAAACTAGACTTTAAATGCTAGAAAACTTGTCATGTCCTCATTGAGAGATGACAAAGGCCACAGGGGTACTCTGAATTGAAGTACAGAAAGTACTTATATTTTTAGTAACATCAGAAATTGTCTATGTAGAACCAAGAACAACTGTGGCACCACTATATTCTGGGAAGAAGTTTCAGGGATGGGAGCTTGTCACAGTAGGTGCCAGTGCTACAGCTCATCTTCAATGTGCAGCTCCAGGATTTCCCCCTCCTTCTTTCAGGCAAGAAAGTTGATTGCATCAATTTTTCATAGACAACGGAGGATCTTTCTATAGTATAGGTAGGATGTTTTAGTATGTTCCCCATCAAGGCTTTGTAAAGGTAGGTATTTCAGATCCTCATCATGGGAGGTAGTGAGATTCTTTCCAAGCTTATCATATGTGATAATAATATCTTTGTTGGGCTCTCTTATATTTCCATACATGGTTTTGGCAAGTCTCATCTTCAATTATATTCTCATTTTCCAATTAGCCTCGGATAATTATGGGAAGCATGTCTGGCTGTGGGGTCATTAGAGGGTTAATAAGGCATGACTGTGTCATTGTCGTCTGCCAGCTCAGTCATGCACAATCATGGCAGACCCCCCAAGGCAAGGTCTTCTCACATGAATGCATGAGGGTGTGAATGAGGCAGGCATGGGGTGTACCACTCTCAGATAATTGCTGTAATTACCTTTAAAAAAATCATAACATCTTATGTTGGGAACACAGAACCTCGTTCGGATTCCAGTCCTAAGCGAAAGGAAGCAAAGATTGGTATTTTCATGGGAATGGAAGATAGAAGCATCTCTTTGGAGTGTGATGCCCAGGGATATCCCCCTCCATCATCCAGGTGAATTATTGGACTCATTCAACATGAGGCATTTAGTAAGGTCATTTTGAAACAGATCCAGTTGGGCAAGTCAGTCCTCGTTTTGAGGGTAGTCGATTGCGAGAATCAAAGGTTTTGGCAGGAGAAGCTTTGGGCATTGTATGCCCTGCACAAGCTTCTCCTCTTCCATACATACGGTGAGATCTCCTTGCTGTTCACTTCCATTTCATCTGCTTCACCACAAAGGCATTGACTATGTTGATGATGAATTCCTGTCATGATTATAAAATTATTTATTAAAAATGGCTTTATATGCTAGTCAGTTAGATATTACCTCTTAAATCTTTCAAATAAAAAATTGATTTTTTATTTTGTAAACTCTAGTTGGGCATATTATTCAAATCTAATGTCAGTCAGCATCATAGAGCAATAATAATTTTGCCTTTGCAAGAAGATGCAACTGCTGTTAAAGATTTGAAATGAAGACTGTGATTAGTATGGTAATTTATGCAATTGGATGTGTTAATGAACTTGAGTGGTATTTCAAGAAATTTTCCTTATCTGACTTGGTACTCATTTAAAGTGTATCATTGTATTTGTTTGTTTTGTAAACCTGAAAGTTGGCACCATAATACCACATTGTTCCATATATCTGACAGATGGTACAAGCTGACACCAGAGGGAGTGAGAGAAGAAGTAGAACTCAATGATCGTGTGAAGCAAGTCGGAGGCACTCTCATCATAAAGGAAGCCAAAGTGCAAGACTCTGGGAAGTACCTGTGTCATGTCCAAAATTCAGTGGGGGAAGAAACTGTCGAAACAGTCCTCACCGTCACTGGTATGAAACCAAGATTTATTTCACCTTTCATGTTTTTGTAGCATCTCATCAGATGATACTATGATGAAAATTTTCCAATTCTTCAATATAGCACCCCTGTCAGCAACTTTAGAGCCCACAAGCCAAACAGTGGATTTTGGAAGACCAGCCACATTGTCTTGCAGTGTATCAGGAAATCCAATTCAAAACATCACCTGGTTCAAGAATGGCGTACAGATCAGTAACACTGGAGGAGTCTACAAGATTGCCTCTATTCAAAAAGAAGACAAGGGCATGTACCAGTGTTTTGTGAGAAATGACCATGACAGTGCTCAAGCCACAGCTCAGCTCAAGTTGGGAGGACGATGTGAGTTGATTTTGATTTTCAACGTTTCTTTTAGCCCTCTCTAACTCTGTCATGGCTGAGTAAACTGGAGTGAACACCATCATGATTTGTTCTCAGCACACCATTTATTTCTGGGAAATGATCTCAGTTTTGTCAGTTAGAATCAAAATATAACAGTTTTATGAGCTTTTTTTATGTTTCTCTTTTCTGGGGAAAAAAATTTAAAATGACGGAAATAAAAACCAGACCAAAGAAGATCATAATCCATATTTTAAAACTTGACAGTTAAAGGGTTAATGAAAGCCAATAGCTTTATTTTTTGTGAATGTCTTGGGGAAACCATGCTTTTCCAGATCCAATGTCTCATAGATATTCCTATGGAAATCAGAATGAATGCTTTTCATTTGAATAGAAATGGAATGTTTGTGCCATTTTAAGAGATATATATTTCTGAGTAAGGCTGCTTCTGGAAAGCATCAATGAGTGGGAGCTGTTAAAAATTGGCTTCCTGTATTCAGATGCTTTAGATAATGAGGCTACTTTTCTAGAGATAAATGTCCAAAAACCTCGAGGTCACTGTGTGACCATGGGTAACATATGAATAGGGGAAAATTTTTGCCATGTGAAAGTTGGTCTGCACTGACAAAAGGGGCATTTTGTCAATGACATAACTGAGAGATATCCAAATCATCCCCTTGTGAATTCTCTCACCTACACTGTTTTCAGCATCAACCTTATGGGGAAAGAAGTAAATCCTTGCATATCACCTGCATGTGCTTAAACCTTGCTGAAAGTGGTTTTCAATGGGCCATTCTGGGGAAATTCAGGTTGAACTGGGGGAACTATAAAGACATGGCTGTCTAGGTATTTTCACTAACAGACCTGCTGGCAGGGTACTCTCCCAGGAAACTTTGACCCATGGGAAACCACTTTTATGCTGAAAGATTGAGCCTGCAAACACTGATCCAATTGGGTTGCCCTCTGCGTTCATTTGTGATTCACTGTCTTGATCCTCACAGTAAACAAGCAGAAATGCAGAATCATCTTGTCAACATATCAGTGCTTTTATTCTTGAACAAGCTGGGTTACCCGGCGTTGCCCGGGATATTTTTTAGGAGTAATATAGCTGTTGTTCTTTTATGTGCTTTTTTGTTAGTGCTTATTTGTCTAAGTCTGGCCAGACCGACGGGGACAGGAGCACTGCTCTGGCCATTTTATTTTTATTTGTT